AGGGTCAGAGCTAGCCTTCCCATCACTGTTCCTCGTGTTTGCCTTAACGAGGTCCACAGGTGTGGCAGATTAAAGGGAAAGGCTGTAGTCCTCTGAGGTCTTCGGGGGATGGATTCTAGTTCCAAGCAGGGTGAGGACCCTGGTGTTGAAGACAAAGCAGCTATGGCTGGAAGATGCCTGCATCACAACTTGACTATTTTCTAGCTTTAAGATTTGCAACTTGCCCAGGATTGACCTATGGGACCAGATTGTCTATCTGGGGTTCATGCTAGTGACAGTGACCAGCTTCCTCCCTTGCTAAGACTTCACATCCTCATCTGCAAAAAGGAGAACCCTCCTCAGCTCTGTGGATGTGGTAGGATGCTTGTACAGAGTCATCATGGCTGTCTCTGTGGGGCTGTGTCTTTCAGTCACACAGTTTGACAGGTTCTCATACGTAAGCAGAATTCGAACACCTGGCCAGGTTTGTAACCCGGCTGAAGCAGGAGCATTTCAAGGTCAAGGCCTACCTGAGCTATGGAGCAATTCTGGGGCTGAGGCAGCCTAGTGAGATCCTGTCTCACAATGAAATAGGTCCCTGTTACAGCCAAGAGATACAGCTGAGTGGCGCAGTGCTCACGCCCCACATCCGACGCCCTGAAGCTCATACTCAATCCTTCCGCAAGAACAGAGAGTTCACGTTATGCTGACGTCAGGGGAGGATGTAGCTGAGGCCTCTGGTATTCATGTGGCCTCACAGCCGCCTCCCTAGCAATGTCCAACTCCCCTGCTCTGGACCCCGCCCTTTTTCTCAGCCATCCCACCCACTTGTCAATATACACAGGCCAGGTCTTTCTTTAGTATAAGCTTAATACTCACTGTTCCTCCTTTCTTCTCCTGATTCGGGTGCACTGTGGGCTGAATCAGGCTGATCTGCTCTGTACTACATTGAGGGGCAACTAGAAGGCCACCCCTGGGAACCACTTACTTGGCTCAGGAATACACCATGCAGCAGTACCCCAGTGCTGGGGCCGTGTCTGGGCTGGAGGGAAAGGCAGCTCAGGCACTTTGCAATCCCTGCTCACAGCCAGATGTGTGGTGCATACCTGGAGGGCTCCCTGGCTCTTTATTCCCCAGCACTTGCCACACAGCTGGCTGCCCCTGGGGCTTCCTGTTAGAGCTAGAGCTCACTCCTTTTCTTCAGTGTGGAGTCCATGTCTCTGTCGGAGAGAGGGAACCCTGGGAATATTTCCTCTCGCCTGCTGGAGAACGAGAAAGCCAGAGACTGCCTGATTCCTATGGGGTGAGTGTCTACAGGAAGCACGCACTCTCTGTCTCTGTCTCTGTCTCTGTGTGTGTCCACTCACTGTCCTGTCTGTCCTCAACCAGAGATAGGGATTTCCTCCCATGGGGCTGGCAATGCCAAGCCCTGAACCCGCTCCCCAACCCTTCATCCTTTGAGAATCATGCACTCAACAGGCATGGGGTTTGCATTACCCTTGACTTTCATATCCCATGCTGTCCCTACCCTAAGGTGTCCAGTCACAAGGAGGAGGATGGCAGATGTTCCCAAAGCCCCAGCTAGAGACCTGGAGCATTGAGAAGGGTGTGGGGAGCACTGAAGTTCTGAAGATGTTGGGGAGGACTTGGGCCTATGAGATGCAGCGTGGGCGATCTGCTCCATCTCTCCAGGACTTTAACCCTGCAGCCATGTCTCTGAGCTCACAAGGGCAAGGGATCCTGGGAAGCTGGCCACATCAGAACTCTAGGCTGACTTGACTTGGGCCACAGCCTCTGTTTCCAAGAGTAACCCAGAAGCCATCGGAGAAACTGCGGCCAGAGAGTGCTCCAGCATTCCTCCTGCCCTGTGTTATGTCAGGGGACAGATCCTTTTTTAGGCCCCACATTCATGCTGCTCTGCCCTGTAAGGGGTGTCTGTTTTTGAGCATTGGTAGACATGGGTGCTCAATATCCATGATGAGTCAGGAGTTCCTGGGGCGTGGACTGGAGGATGCCCAGGGGTGCAAGACCAGGCCTTCAGTGAGGCCCTGGAGACCCACGGCCTCCTGCTTTTCTGTATGTGCGCTAGGATAACCTCGGAGAACGTGGCTGAGCGGTTCGGCATTTCAAGGCAGAAACAGGATGCCTTCGCGCTGGCCTCCCAGCAGAAGTGAGTACGGTTGGGGTGACTGTTGACAGGGCTGGAGAGCGACCTTAGCTGTAATGATGATACCAAGGTGCTGGCTGGCCCCAGGCCTGGAGCTGGGAGGTGGAAGGGGACATTCACACCACTGGTCCTCTTTAACGGGTCACTCCGTTTAGTGTCCGCTCCCTAGCTGGGCCTCAGCCCCTCTCCCACTCTGCCCCTTGGGACATAAGGACTAGTTACCTGTTCTGACCAGATATGGTGCCCACTGGTGATCCTTAAGCTTGGAGTAAGGAGCCAGTAATGCTAAGACCTAGTCACCTAGTCGTCCTAACACAAGAGATAGACCTGGACCAGGAGCTGTGGCCTGAGGCTGCCATTCGAGAAAACCAGAGACTTGGGCCTGCGGGAAGCACAGTGCCAGGTTGGCCACTCAGGCCACATGTTGAGAACAGCAAAGGAAGGGGTGAACATGAGCTGGGTGGCCTCCCCTTTTAGCAGTGTGTACGTTCACTGGAGCCGTGCATTCCTGCCCAGGGGAATCGCCCCACTTCTTTTTTGCACATGGCTACAAAGAATCATCCTGTGCATGCCTCGTGTATCAACTGTGTGAATGAGAAAGTACATCTTGGAGGTGCACTGCACTTTTAAATTTAAGTTGGGGCCCAGGTGAAATTGTGTCTTTAACAGTCAAACATGAGACTTGAAGAATCCAGCACAAATATTCCCAAGGATCCAGCCTCAGTGTGGAAGACACCACTGAGCAGGCTTAGCGGCCAGTGAGTGAGGAGGGCTAACCCTGACAGCACCTCTCAGCGTTCTTCTCTTGACTGGGATGAGCACCAAGATGTGAAAACCCAGAGCTGATGACGAAGAGTCCAGGGAGGCTTTGGGCACCCTTTCCCTCCAAAATGAGGCAGTGTCGTGAGGAACCCTCAGCGGTCAGTCACAGCTCCATCAGGGCTAGTGCTGTCACTGGGTGACACAGCCTGTGTTAGCCATGGCCAGGGACAGGCAGGAAGAGACCACAACCATGCCTGAGACTCACTGTCCATGGTGCTGGCAGGGCAGCGAGAGCCCAGAGCGGAGGACGTTTCCGAGCCGAGATCGTGCCTGTGACAACCACTGTCCTCGATGACAAGGGCAACAAGAAAACCATCACTGTGACCCAGGATGAGGGTGTCCGTCCCAGCACCACCATGGAGGGCCTGGCCAAGCTGAAGCCTGCCTTCAAGGATGGGGGATCTACCACGGCTGGTGAGCGCAGGCCGGGAATAGGGCTGATTGAGGTGACCTGTTCCAGTCTGAGACCTGGAGCTGACCGGGACCCCTGGGAAGGTGATGGTGGAGGGCTGGCTCTCCTCAGCTGGGCCTGATGCCTGCTCATCCCTTCCCTCCCCTAGGAAACTCCAGTCAGGTGAGTGACGGAGCGGCTGCCGTCCTGCTGGCCCGGAGGTCCAAGGCTGAAGAACTGGGCCTCCCCATCCTCGGGGTCCTGAGGTCCTACGCAGTGGTTGGCGTCCCTCCCGATATCATGGGCATCGGGCCTGCCTATGCCATCCCCGTGGCCTTGCAGAAAGCAGGTGAGGCGGCTTCTCAGCCTGTGCTTGGATCCCTCCTTACCTGTCCCTGGGGCTCAGGTGTGCTGGGTTTGGCCTGTGGGTGCTGTGGGTGGGACAGGCCCTCCTGACCCCACAGCTGGGACTTGCTCCCTTGTCCCTAAAGTATGAACATTAGACTCCTGGGGTCTGGCTGGGCCGGGGAGACCCAGGTCAAGCCCAGTGGTCCCTGTCAGCTCTGGCCTGTACTTCACCCACAGGGCTGACTGTGGATGACATAGACATCTTTGAGATCAATGAGGCCTTTGCCAGCCAGGTGAGCCTGGGTGCTGTGGTGGGATCGGTTGGGCGGAGCAGATGGGGGCCTCAGCTATCGCTCTGACCCCTCTCAGGCCCTCTACTGTGTGGAGAAGCTGGGGATCCCTGCTGAGAAGGTGAACCCCCTGGGGGGTGCGATAGCCCTGGGCCACCCCCTGGGCTGCACCGGAGCGAGGCAGGTAGTCACGCTGCTCAATGAACTGAAGCGCCGTGGGAAACGGTAAGGCTGCTCCCCTGGGGTGCTGTGGGGGGTGTGAGAGCTGGGGCTTGGGGAGACGAGCACACACACCTGAGGCTTGTGTAAAGGCAGCATAACCTAAGGAAGGTGTCTGCCGCCTGGGCGTGTGTCTGTCCAGGGCTCAGTCCCCACAGATCTGCTCTGCGGCTTCCCATGCTGCTGCGGCTCGGCCTGGTGGGGGCACGGGTTGGGTGTGGCTCTGTCCAGCAAACTCGGAGTCTTTTCCCCAGGGCGTACGGCGTGGTGTCCATGTGCATCGGGACCGGGATGGGAGCCGCTGCCGTCTTTGAATACCCTGGAAACTGAAGCCCTGGCTACGGGCGCCACCAGAGCGCCCTACAGTGGTGGCCAGAGGGGGACTCCACGGAGGCCATTGGCATGGGACACCACTGTATCACAGCACTTTAATTTAGAAAATGTAATCACGATACAGGGACAAATGAGCACTCGGCCATCCAGTCCTCCTGGCTGAACCAGTGTCAAGGCCAGGCACTGCTGAGCACAGGGCAGTGTGTATTTCTGTGGGACGGTGGCCGCGTGGATGATGGGCACAGTGGACAGAGTAAATGTGTGCTGTCTGATTTGGGTCCAGCTCCTGCTTCGTTGGACTCTGGGGGCCATCGGTGTAGTGGTCGTCACAGTCACTGTGGCGGCGGCCTGCGCTCCTTAGCCCCGGGGGCCTGCCATACAAGGGCTTGGCTGACAGCATCCCCAGGAGGAGCCGCCTCATCCTAGGAGTTGCGGCAGCCCCACAGCCTGTGTCCCTGCTCAGCAGCCCTGCCCCTCGGCCCTGAGCCAGACTGATGTCCGGGGCTGGGGCTGCGGACTCCAGAGCCTCAGAACTGGTGAGGCACCACGTATCTCTCATCGTAAGAGCCTTGGCCCCGCAGCCTCAGGGTGCAGGGCTTCTCACTCAGCACGCCTTCCACCACCATCGTGGACTCGTACAGCAGGTTGCTCCTAGGGAAGGGGTAGGTGAGGTCAGGGGGTGCCAGCATTGCCCAGGCCCCGTGGGCAGTGCTCCTGAGGCAGGAAGCAGCTCTTACCGAGGGGTGAAGAACACCTGAAGGGGAATGGAGGTTGGGGGTGCGTTGGTGGGTCTGGCCTCCAGCAGCCCACTGCTTGGGGTGACCTCAAAGGCATTATCCTCCCTGCCTGGTTCCTCCTGTCCTATGCCAAGAAGAAAGGCCACACACGGGCACAGGCCATTGCTGTGTGGCTCCCCTGGACCAGCCTCTCGGGTGCAACCCAGGGCAGGACAACCAAGCACTGGAAGACAGGTGAACTCTGGGGGTGTCAAGTGCCACCAGCCCTAGGAAGCCAGTCTACATGGACGGGACCCAGTGGTCTTCCCTAGGGGTCTTGCTCAGTCCCACCAAGGGACAGCAGCATTGGGAGGGGTCAGCATACCCATCAACACTGTCCAGTAGCTCAGGCAGCCACTGAGGTTCATCAGGTAGACCTCCCGTGTGTGCTGTTGGTTCACAAAGCAGGTCCCGAAGTCCACCCAGCTGGTGGAGAGCTGCAGCTCTGGCACAGCCACGGTAGCCCGCAGGGGCACCTCCTGGGAGTTCGAGCCTGTGACTTAGTGAGGCATGAAGCAACCTCGCCCACTGGGGTCCTGTGGTCCTGGGACACAGGGTACCCCATCTCCCCCAAGCACTGACACTTCTGAGCAGAGCTGGGGAAGAGGACAGTTGCAGCTCTGGGTTGGCATGGCCTCTAAAGCCAATAGGCCAGGTGGACTCCTCAGGGCCAGGACACCCTCAGCTCCTCTGTCTGCCTCCCTCCCCTGGAGCTCTGTGCCCTGCTCCCGGTCAGTGGGCCAGTCTGCCATCTGACCTCCCTCACTGTCCTTGCCTCCTTCCTCCCAGGGGCTCTGAGGCGACCCTTCAAGTTATTAGATTCTGAGCCAAGCAGTTCCTCAGAAGTCCATGGATCACCCAGTCACCGCACGGTCACCTTCCCTTTGGCCCTAGCTGCCACCCCATGCAGGGCTCCTCCACTCTGCTCAGATTCTGGTCTCTGGCATCTCACAGGGTTTATCCTTCAGCCCCTCACCTGCACCCACAGCTAGGCCCTCTGACTCCCTCAGCTCCACCCTGACCTGTGTGTGGCCTGCTCAGTGGCCCTCAGTCTAGCTCTCAAAGCCCCATAGGAGCCAAGTCGTGGCCCTCACAGCTTCCTCAGGTGCTCACTGTCCCCACCAGTGAGGTCACACCCTAGGTCTCTCCGTGTCATTTCCATTTTCCTTTGATTAGGCAGGAGGCAGGCCTCACCTGCCACCTCTTCCAGGGAGCTGCCAGGGTTTCCCCCTCCAGCCCCTCACCCTTGGGGCAGGGTGCTGCCTTCCTCCCTGGGGTTGGAAGTGGCAGGGGGCATCCTAGAGCATGCCTGAATGGTCTGGTTGCTGAAGCCCAGGAGCAGGTTCTGCGTGAACACCATCGTTTTCTCTCCGATATCATTCTGCTCGATGTCCACTCCGGGCAGCATCTGGTCGTCCGGGAGCTTCTGGTAGGACAGCAGTTCCAGGGACAGCGAGAAGGACACGGCCACCTGAGCGCATGCGGACATGTCGTCACTCTAGGTTGCTGAAGGCAGGGGACCTGTTTCATCTGGAGTCCTCTACTGCCCCTCCTCCATCCCCACAGCCAGGCCAGTCAGCCCATAGCTCAAGCAGCTTGTGGAGCTCAGAGTGGCCCAGCTGCCCAGCACACAGCTCAGGTGCCTCTGTGTGGAGCGTTTGCCTGCAGTGTGCAGAGCCCCTGGCCAGCATGCAGAAGTCAGCCTTCCTTGTCCCCAGGAGTCTTCTGGGGGGGGGGGCACACAAAGTAAGGAAAGTGCCCTGGAGCTGAGCTGAGCTGAGCTGAGGCTGTGTGTATGGGCCAAGGAAAAACTGTTTTTATCCTGGGGACGCGAGGGGCTTGTTAGGGTCTGAAATGGGACATCCATCCAAGGCAGCTTTTCCTCCCACAGTGCCTCTAGCCACCATGGGCACTTGGGCTGTGGAAGCACGAGTGAGCTGAGAACAGCGGGCAGGAGACCTAAACAGAGTGGGGCTTGGGCTCCTGGCCCTCAAGACAGCTCTGTGGCAGTTCATCAAAGTCACTGAGGTGTTTGCTACACCTGAGTCCCGACTTTCACGTGGCTAGGAGGCCTGAAGGGGGTGTCTGGGAGCTTTACTCGCTGGAAACATTCTAATGGCTGGTGTTCCCGGGTTGGAAGCCATTGTCTAGGGCCAAGATGAGGAACAGGGCCAGAGCTGACAGGTCAGAGGTCACCCTTGGGGCCTGCTCAGTTATCAGGAGTTCAGAGCTCTGGCTGGTTGGAGTGGTTGCAGTGATAAAAACGCTACTCCGTAGAGAAGGGACCACGTGGGACAGGACGTGGCGGTGGTGAATTCAGGTTTACAGGGTGCGTTTGGCTCCAGAACTAAGAGTTCAGGTCAGGACGCCCAGGTACCATCTGTCTGTGACCACAGAGGAAGGCACAAGGCCATTGTGTGATGTTCATTTCCCCACACACACACTCTGGGAGCATCTGGGCCTCTCCTGGGGAGCTCTAGAGGAAGGACCCTCCCTTCCCCTTAGCTCTCTTAGTGGGGAACCTAAGCAGGGTGGTCAAGAGAGCGCTCTGTCATCTTCCACAGCTCTGGCTACCCGGCCACCACAAGCAAGGCCTGGGAGGTCGCCCCAGACAACACAGGGCTGGCCCTCACTGCACAGTGAAAGACATCTGCCAGCGTGCGGCTGCTCAGTGAGATGGTGGAGAAGGTGGATGAGGTTGCCCAAGAAGTGCAGCATAAGGCGGGCACCCAGCTGCGACTCCAGACCGTCGACAGGAGGGGTGAAGGACTGCAAGGAGGGGAGAGGGAGGGTCTTGCAAGGCAGGAGCGGAGGCAGGAGAGGGAGGGCTTCAGTTTTGCCGTCCATCCTGGACAAGACTGTGCTCACCCACAGAGCCACCATTCAGAGGGCTGTGCATGTACCCTGTTTCTACGGAGCCTGGGTCCCACCCCCATTTCAGGTACCTCAAACCAAAGGAGGCAGACAGTCATGGCCCTGGCCTCCCCAGGTCAACCCGCCTCTAAAAATCCAGGCTCCTGCAGACTCTGTGCTCTGCATGATGTTCATGGTCAGCCAGCTGTGGGTGGGCCCAAGCCAGGGCATTACACCTTGAGCCAAAGGTCACATGAGAAGGGAGGGGACGTGGTGTGAATCAGAGGTGCTCACCGGCATGCACCGGCCTCCACCAGGCCGTCAGTGGTGGAGATGATGGGACACACGCTGGAGAGCCTGGATGTGTTTGTGGGAGGCACGTGACTATTGCAGCAGGCCCATCCATGCCCAGGGCAGCAGGACTATGTGTGTAGAAAGGGACATCTCTGGGGACGTGCAGCCTGTGGCTGCAGGTGTGGGGCGGTGTTGCCCGTTGAGGCGGGCAGGGAGATGGCCCACCACCTCACTGACCAGCGTGTTCTCCTGTGGGCGGAGCATCAGGTGCTGGCCGCTGGCGGCGATCTCATCCTCCTCCTCCTGCTGCTGCTGCTGCTGCTGCTGCTGCTGCTGGGCCCCGACGGGAGAAACAAAGAAGGGCCTGGGGACCAGGATTCGGAAGTCGTGCAGGATCTCCCTGCTGTTGATCAGTTTCAGATGGCGGGTGGTTAGCCGGTCACTCAGCACCTGGGGCCACAGTGGGGGCGGGCAGAGGCTGGCTTGCTTGGCACGTCTCTTCCTGCTGTGCCCCGGAAGGGCCCATGGGCTCGTGGGAGGTCCGAGTCCTTTGACTGGTCAGGGTGACAGCATACTCACCCCATAGCAGGGATCCTTCGGGATGAGGTCACTGGCCTGGCACTGGAATTCCAAGTAGCCACTGCTGCCCAGCTCGACGTCCAGCCTGCCCAGGGACAGGCACTGCTCCGGCAGGCCACCAGGGTCTCAGGCCCCTGGAGCCCTGTCCCTGCCCCTGGCTGACTCCTTCTCCCTTCTCAGAGAGCTCCACCAAGGGGACCGGGTTGGGGAGCAGGGGTGAGAGGCGCAGCTGACTCACTGTGCATGTCTCACGTAGCTGTTCAACTCCAGCCTCAGGGGACCAACGTCGTAGTCCTGAAGGCGGCGCATCCGGCCTGGAATCTCTCTGTCTGTCTGCAGAGCCCAGTCCATCAGAGGTCACTGTGGTCCCTGAGCTGAGCAGGCAGTGGGGAGCCCTGGGGGACAGGAGGACGGCCATGGCGCCCTCACCCAAGGTGGTAAAGCTCACCTCCTTGTCCAAGCTCATGTAGCCCAAGGCATAGCCGGTACATGCCACCTTGTGCAAGACCCCGAGGCCGAGCACCACGGGCGTGAATGAGATGCAGAAGGTGCTGTTGCCTCCAGCCGGGATGACCTGGTGGAGACAGCGGACTCAGCTCTGCCCCAAGCACCGGCAGCCCAGGGCAGCTCCCCAGGAGAGCGCTTACCACCCTCCCCCCCACACACACACTCACCACCTGCCTGGGGCTGACATGGTACATGTGTTCGGCAGATACTCCGTCATGGTCCTGCAGCACCACTGAGATGATGTGCTCTTCAGCCCTGGTACCACCACTGCAGCTGCCCTGTTGCCAAGAAGACCCTGCAGCTCCCATGGGCTCAGCCGACCTGGGCCACGTCTCACCACGCCCTGTACCCCTGGCTCACCGATGAGGCGACAGCAAGGCTAGACACTGACACGTTGGAGAGGCTTGGGGACCCTGGTGAGCTGGCCTCCGGGATATCGGGGTAAAGGAGCTCATTCCCGGCCTGATCCCGCAGCGGGAAGGGCGGCCCGTAGAACACAAGCAGCTCCAGCAGCCGGTCCTCCTTATCTTCTGGGACAAAGGTCTTCCAGTCTATGCGGATGTCTGCAACAGTCACGTGTTGGGGGGAGTGGGTGGTCTCCTTCTGGCCTCCACCTCCTTATTCTTCCACATTCATGGTGGAGGGGACCTCGCTGTTTTTTATGGTGCCACGGTTTTGGAGAGAAGGTCTTAGGGAAGGGAAGATGCCTCAGTTGCTCAAGGGCTTGCTACACAGCTGGTTACTTTTTGCCAATCTGTTCCAAACTAGGGTTGCTTGGGAGGAATGGACCTCAGCTGAGAAATCACCTCCATCAGTCTGGCCTGTGGGCGTGTCTACGGGGCGTTTTCTTGATTGATGATTGATGTGGAAGCTCTTACCCCACTACAGGCAAGGTCACCCCTGGGCAGGTGGTCTTGGGTTGTGTAAGAGCGCATGCTGAATAAGCCAAGAGGAGCAAGCAGGAGAGCAGCATCCCTCCACAGTCTCTGCTTCGGTTCCTGCCTCCAGGTTCCTGCCTCAAGTTCCTGTCCTGCCTTCCCATTATAACCCTTTCTTCCCCAAATTAATTCTTCTTTCCACGGTACTTTGTCACAGCAACAGAAAGCCAGCTAGGACGTGTGCACATGAGGACCTGAGTTTGAACCATAGCACCACACGAAGAGATGGGTGTGGCAGGACACGCTTGTGTACTAAGTTCTGAGGAGGCAGAGACAGGCTGAGCCCTGGGGGTTGCTGACCAGCCACGCTAGGCTACCTGGTGAGTCCTGGGTCACCGACAGGCTCCATTTCAACAAGCAAAGTGGAGGGTATCCGAGGAGCAACACCTAACGCCATCTTCTGGCTTCTACACATATGGCCACACTCATGTGAGCATGCCTGAACACACATGCACTCATACACACAAACATGCACATACAAGAACACGAGTAGTTCTTCACAGGCCCAGCACAGTCATTTGAAGCTCTGGGATTCTTCAAATCCCAGAACCTAGGACCTCCTTGCTCCCCAGGGCTTCCTGTCTTGGTTTGTCTCTGACAGATTGGTCCTCCAAGCCCCACAGTTTCCACTTTCTCCACACCATCCATCAGCCCCGTCTGCTTTCATTTCCTCCCCAGCCAGGCTGACCTTCGTGGGCATCTTCAGAGCAACACCCTCCCTCCCTTTGTGCCCCTCTTCTTCTACTCATGAGGCACAGCAGGGCAGCTAGTTCAGACTTCCCCCACCATGCAAAAGCTTCCCTCAGCCGTACCACCTCCTCAACTATGCCACAACAGGATGCGCGACCAACCATCCAGTCCCCTCCGAATGTCTCAATTAGCATGGAGTTTCTGGATCTACAATGTCAGGTGCTGGCCCTAGCACCGGCCCTGGCACTGGTTCTGGCACTGGGCAATGCCTTGGGACACACCCAAGTCTCTTGATCTGTCTCTCCTATCTATTATCTGATGTCTGCTTCTTACCAGGGTCATCAATGACCTCCATACCCTGGAGCAATGAGCAGGATTCTGAGTGGTGAAGAAGAAAACCGCTAGGGAAAACGGAAGCCAAGGAGAAAACTCAGAGAATAGCTAGGCTCATGAGCGGGGCCTGGGATCCCGGCTACTTGGGAAGATGAGACAGGAGGACCTCAAGTTCAAGTCTGCCCTGAGTGATAGTGGCTTTGGCAACTAGGTGAGGCCATATCTCTAGTGAAGAGCGAGAGAATGGCTGCAGAGGTGGCATGGGCAGAGTGCTGGCCTGGCATGAGTAACACCCTCAGCCGACTCCGTACAACTGCAGAGCCAACCGCAAGATCCCACAGACAAGGTCATCTTGGGATTTTCAAAGGCTTAGCCTCCCACTGTTTACCAAAAGCACTCACCCTCTGCCCTCCATGCTCCTCCTGTCACATGTGACCCTTCCTCAATAAATAAATGTAACTTTAAAACTTAGAAACAAACGAAAATCCCATTGAAGTGTTGGCGAGGCAGCTGCAATGCTCACACTGGAGTCCTAAGAATGACAGCGCTGAACTAAAGGAGCCAGCGAGGAAGAGCCAAGGAGGGCTATGAGAGAAGACACGCTCAAGTGCATCTAACGGAGCAGCTGGAAATAACAATGCAAAACTGTCGTAAATTCGAGGAGGGCCTGACTTCAGGACTCGGCAACAGTGAAGACAGGGATACAGTCTCAGAACTGTGTGGACCCCACAAGGAGCAGATCCCCGGAGCCCAGCTTCTTGCCTGCGGCCATGCCTCCCTTAGAACGGCCCGGCGAGTTTCAGTCTCCAGCTCCTGAGTTGTCTATAAACCCTCCTTAAGTCACCATACGTCCGCCACCTGTCTGGCTTTCCCCAGATGCAGCCCAAGTGCCCCCACGAGGAAGTAGAGGCACTCCTCAAAGGCCCCAGCACCCGGCCACACTGCCATCGGGACGGAGGCCCCGGGGGCAGGAAGCCCTTTGCCCGGTTCTCTCAGTATTGCCAGCCCACCCAGGAGTTACCTGATGTGTAGCACAAATACTGCTGGCTGAAGGGATGAGAAAACTGCCCTGGGCATGTCTGTCCCCGGGTACAGGGATCCCGGTGACACAAAGTTAAATAAGGATGAGCCATCCTTGGGGAGGGACGTGCCTGCCTTCACCCTGGGGCAGTCACCCCTCTCTCTGCTTTGGACCTCTGGTGTGTCTCAGGAGCCACAGGCCACCTTGACTTCCTGGGTTCTGTTCCCTCGAGGCCATCTTCTTTCCCTGACAGACACCTGAGCAACTCACCACAGTGACTGGAGTTGAACAGACGAAGAGTTCTGGTGACCGTGTCTCCTCCGGAGAGCTGGGTCCCGAACCTGGAGGGAGAGGGCAGCCTGAGCCAGCACACTCCTAACAGTGTGCATCCGTGGGGGCAGGGAGGGGGCAGGAGCCCTGGGTGGATCTCAGGCCAGAGAGGCGTCAGCTATCTGTCCTTGTCCCTGCATCGCCCAGACCCGGGGCTACAGAGTGTTAAGGTCTTCGGTTGGGTCCTAGCTTATCTGTGTCAGCCCTAGGTTCCGGTACTGCCTCCGATTGCTCTCTGCCCACCCACCCGCCACAAAGCACAGAGACCCACAGATGTCAGCCGTGTCCCTGAGGCTTCTCCTCTCCAAGATGGCCCTGCCCTACCACCTCCTGTTGGCTCAGGTGGTCGTAGGCCAGCTAGAGAACCAGGTGCCAGCACAGACAACCCAGCCTGGCAGCAAGAGGGTTCAGAGACCAGGGCTGAGGCCAGCTACCTGATGATGGGCTCCTCCCGGAATGGGGCCACACTGTAGCACGTATTCCTCAGGGAGCTGATGGGGCAGCCCACCACAGCCATATACACGGGGATGACAGTTACTGGCTGGTCTCCCACCTGCCAACACACGAGCTCTCTGTCAGCAAGAGCCACCGCATTTCTTTGGGGCAAAGCTTTCCAATGTCCAGCCAGACCGCAGTCCCCAGAACTCGGGTCCTGCTGAACGCAGCCTCACCCACTACCCAGTCCCCAAGCTAGACATCCTTAACCTGGGCTACTTCACTCCTAGCTCCTGCCCACCCTTCCTTCCCCTCATAGCCTGCTACTGATCCACTAGCGTCAGGACCTCTGGTCTCTTATGGCCCCTTCGTTCAGATTTTTGTATCTTTCACTTTGTTAAGGTTGTGTGGCAGTGGCTGGGGAGATGGCTCGGTGGCTAAGAGCACTGGCTGTTCTTCCAGAGGTCCTGAGTTCAATTCCCAGCAACCACATGGTGGCTCACAACCATCTACAGTGAGATCTGGTGCCCTCCTCAGGGGTGCAGGCAGAATACTGTATAAATAATAAGTAAATAAATCTTAAAAAAATTTAAAGAAGGTCATGTGAGCATATGCATGAGAAAGTGCATGCGTGTGTGAACAGACTGCCTAGCAAATGACACAGTGCAGAGGGCCAGGTAAGGGGGTGCTGCCAGGGAGCTGTTCTTTCCAGCCTGCCCTGTACTGTTCTTCCCAGACTGCATTGTGGAGATGCAGAAGGTTCTGCTACACAGAGGGACTCTCCTGTCTGAAGCGTCTCTGCCTTGGCCGCAGAAGCCGTGGCGAATGTGAGCGAGCAGTACCTGGCAGCAGCTGTATTTGGAGAGGCTGGGGGCCGCAGCTGGCAGAAGGGAGGCTAGCAACTGTGTGCCTGCCTGCACATCCTTACCGTGCAAAGGAGTTCATCCCAGTACTCGCCCCACATGTTGGCACAGGCCGTGATGTCAATTCTCAGCTGCTGGTAGGCTCCCAGCCTGCCCTGGGAGATGTGGGCGAAGAAAGCAGCTCCTTTCTTGTGAGATAACATGTTCTCCACAAAGTCTGGGCAAACAGAACGTGGAGGGTCAGGGCCCTGGGCCGAGTGTGAGGGCTAAAGCTTCAGGAGTTAGGCAAAGTGTGGCCCTGGCAGAGCCCCTGCACAGCCTCTGCCCAGTCAAGCAGCCTGCTCTGGCTGGCCCTGCTTGGCCATCTTGTACCTCCTACGAGGTCAAGCTGCCACCAGTCCAAGCCAAAATCATGTCCTATATACAACTCAGGACGTAGCAGGAGGAACGCTTGGGGATTTCACTGAGGGACACACTGAGAGGGACTTCCCTCCCTGGCAGGTGCTGGCCCGAATTCTCACAGAAGGTCATGCCAAACCCAACTCTGGCCCTGGCTTGGGCCCAATACTTTGCGTGTTGGTGGCTCTTACCGAGCTGTTCTTTCTTGGCCAAGTGCTCTTGGATGTGCGCTGTCTTTAGCAGGGCAGGGGGCATGTCAGGGCTTCACAGAGATAGAAGATAGTAAGTATTGAAGCACTCAGTCCTTCCTACACCCTGAGCCAAAGCCCAAGGCAAAAACAGCCAGACTGATGCTCAGCACAGCTGGAGAGGTGCTTGGCATGGCTGTACAGGTGTCCAGCATGGGAAGGTAACCCTGCCTGCTCTGCCCAAGGGAAGCTGATCAGGACCCCTCTCTACCTCTTTACCTGTGTTTATGTTTCTGTTCCCACTGGACCTCTACCATCTAAAGCAACCATAGGTGTAGGCTACTCCCTAAAGTAACAAGAATTGCTCCTAAGAAATACACAGAATGAGCTCTGGGCCAGAGATCCTGTTATCCCAGAGGCAAACCCTAGCTCTGGACCCCCATATCTTGGGTGCCCTTTGCCACAGGCTCCATTCTCCCAGGCTGCTCCCTGTCCAGCATCAGGATGCACTGACGAGATAGAGCAGGAAACTAATGGTTCACACCACTCTTCCCCATCTCACTGTTCCTATCAGCCAGGACCCATGATCCATCCTATAGCCCACACCAGTGATACAGCATCCATCGCAATCCATATTGCCACGCCCTCACCCTTCCCCTGACTATAGTAGCATCTTGCTCATCTACCCATCTTCCCTGCCTGGTCTCACACATCCACATCCAAGGCCAAGCTGAGGAGGAGTCAAAAGCCTGGGCTCTCCCACAGGCCAGCCTGGGATCTTCAAGGTGAGCCGTAAGAGCCATCTCCTCCATGCATCTCTCTGTGAAGTGCAGCCTCCCTCCCACAACATTCAGCCTCCAGCCCTCCAAGAAACACAACGTCCAGTGAGCTGACACCTGTGCCCAGGGAATGCCCCCAGGGAGTGACTGCAACTTACAGACTGATCTTTTTGTCCAGGCTGTTTGGAGAGCTTCCAAAGTACACAAATTTGAGGGTGAAAGGGGTCTGTATTGGGGAGCAGTTTGTCAGGATAAGCTGGCGAGTCACTCGGGTCCTCAGTGGGGCCTTCGAGCCAAAGTCCAGGCGGAGCTCCTCCGGGGTGCCTGGCCACTGCATGGTGCTGGCGACACTGGGCCATGCCATGGGCACTGTGTTACCTGCCGCTCTTCTTCCCGCTCATAGGCCCACTCTGGGTGGGGTGGGGGGAGCCCTGAAACCCAACTTAATTCTTGGTTCTCTCCTCACTGAGTGCTAGACCCAAGATCCAACCTTCCTACCAACCTGTGATGCCAGATGAGTGCTCAGACTCGAAAACTGCCCCGGTGGGGTCAGAAGAGCAGGCTTTCCAGTTTCGGGGCCTCTTACAGGGAAACCTGCAGAGAACCCGCTGCCGCCCCTACCTACCCCACAGTGTGTAGACACACACTGCACAGGGTGGGCACAGGGAAAGGAGGGCCTGTGACAACTTGCCATCCCTCTTTCCACATTTGCTTGGGAGTAAGGGGGACCAGTACCTCTGAGCAATGCCAGCCTGCCATGTGGCTTCCCTAGCCTGGGCTCACCTCTCAGACTCCTCTGTGGAGACGGTGATGGTCACTTGAATTCCCTGGGGCTTCCCAGAGATGCCCAGGGCCAGCGGCTTCTCCATGTCAGACACGTGGCAAGGGAGAACCAAATCGGTCAGCTTCTCCTACAAGAAGTTGATCCACAGGTCAGCTTCAGAGGTAACTCAGCATGAAGGCCTCAGCTTCTCCAAGGAAGGGCCTCAGTGGCCTGAGTGAGCCATCCTGCCGGCCCAGACAAGGCCTTTAGAGGCTCATAGATATTCGTGTCCACCCTACAGATCTGTGTATATCCACAGGGAGATACAATGGTTCATCATCATTGTCAACTCAGTGGGATTTAAAATCACCATGGAAACATGTTTTGGCAAGCCTGTGAAGGAGACCGGGTAAACTGAGGTGGGAAGGCCCATCCTGAATGTGGGCATACCTTGGCAGGCATGAACATCCTAGACTGAATATAGAAGCGAGCTGAGCACTCGAGTTTGTCCCTCTCCACTTCCTGTTTGCAGACATGACCATTTGCCCCATACTCTTGCAGCCCTGGCTTCCCCGCCATGATGCTCTGCACCCTCAAACTGTGAGCCAAGGAAATAGAGCTCTCTTCCATTAGGTTACTCTTGTTAAAGCAAATGGATACAGTAACTGATACAGGAGACTCGTCAACATCACTTCCCGAGAGCAGTGCATTTCTCTAATGGGCAGCAGGAAGCTGTGCCACTCCAGGCCTTGTCTTATCTGCCCTTCACCTGGCACCAGGCTCAGCTGTGTAAGAACACTCATTGGCCCATATATGCCATCAAGGAGTGAGGAGCTGGGCGTGTAACGCTTGCGTGTACACTGGCAATGAATACATACATACATAGATACATGCACACATAAAATATAAAAAAGGCCAGGTGGCGGCGGGACACGCCTTTAATCCTAGCACTCAAAAGGCAGAGGCAGGTGGATCTCTGTGAGTTGAGCCTGGTCTACAGAATGAGTTCCAGGACAGCTAGGACTTGTTAGTTACACAGAAAAACCCTGTCTCAAAAAAAAAAAAAAAAAAAAAAGAAGGAAAAAAGAAAAAACAAAACAAACAAGAAACAAGAAACCCTTCATCTTAAAGAGGGATGTTTCTCTTCCCAGAAGATCCACAAAGAGACGGTCAGCTACAACCAGGTCCCACAGTGATGGCATCCCTCTGGGAGATGCTGAGCCTCTCCTAGGAAGATGCAAGCCACCTGTTAGGATCCTACTGTAGCACCTGGAACAGTGCCTTGAGCAAGCGGCTTTGTCCTGGGAAAACTGGACAGCTCTGTTGCCTGAGGCCACACAGTTGCCTAGAGAAGGGTGGAGCTATGTAGTCAGTGGGTCTCTGAGGTGGGTCTCCGGCCTGTGGCCTCAGAGAGTAGGGCCAGAGCAAAACGCAAATACATTGAGTCTCGTGCCCACTCGTGAAGAGCAGGAATGGGCAGTGTGGCAGGCCCCTGGGAAGCAGAGGTACCAGCAACTACAAAGGGTGCTTTCCCATCCACCCAGAACTCCTCAAGGGCCTTCCTCACCGGTGTGTGGGCTGTAAACTCCAAGCTGAGCTGGCGTTCTTCACTGGGGCCCAGGAGGCCGCATCTGGGGAAGACTGTCACTGCACACAAGGCTGCTTGAGCCCCCAGAAGCTGAAAGACACAGGGTGGGTTTATTGTCCTGTGAGACTACAGGTGGGCCAGGATCTACACAGAGCGCTAACCCAGATGGGTGGGGTCGGGAGCTCCAGGGGTAAACCACAGAGCCTTCTGTCCCACCCACCACTAGTTGCCTGGACAAAGTGGACGACCCACTGTGATGGAGAGCAGAAGGCAGCTGCCTGAGGCTCCTCTCATGGTGTTCAGAGCAAGCCCCACTGTCAATGGCAGGGATGTTGCCATGGCTAGGCTCTGAACAGCTGTGTGGACCAGTTGTGGGCTATGCTGGCTGGGAGGTCCCAGCTGTGTTCGCCAGAGAACTAAAATTTCCTAAAGACGGGGTCATGAAAGGTCAGGCAAGATGAAGAGCTCAAGGAGCCAAGCTCTGCTGTGAACTGTGGGTGGAGCAACAGGCTTTGGGAGGGAGGCTGAACATCTCTTCTGGGGGGCGGCCACTCAGGGAGCAGCACCACACCATCTCCTTTGCTAGGAGCTGCAGTTTCTGCTCCCTCAGCCCAGTCACCTTGCCCCAGCGGAACCGGGTTGGGAGGAGTGTGCCGTTGATGAGAACGATGCTTGACTTTGAGGGCACGCCCAGGTAGAGGTTGCTAAACTCCATGTGGCTGTTTTGTAGGTACACATAAGGCTGCTGCACCTCAGCATACACAGGGAGATAGCTGGAACACAGGAAACCATACGGCACCAGGTCAGAAAAAAGAAAACTATCCTGATTTATAAAATGGCATGAGGAGGCCTTTGCACAAATCCCTGAGGAATCTTAATATAATAAAACAAAATAAACAAATAAATAAATAAACAAAAGCCAAACCAAGCCAAACCAAACCAAACCACCAAAACAGCTAGGGGTAGTGTTGCACATTTATATTTCCAGAACCCAGGAGGCAGAGACAGGTGGATCACTGTGAGTTCACAGCCAGCCTGGTACACATGTAGGCCAGCTGGGGCCACACAGTAAGCCCTGCTTCAGGAAATCCAAAGGCAACAACAAACAAACAAAACTTCCCAAAGCAGGTTTGCCACAGCCGCAGCAAACACAAGACCGTCGTGCAGAAGAACCGTATTCTTATAGCTTAATGATGAGCATGCAGAAACAAAATACTTAAATTTTAAATCACTCAATGTTGAAATGTCTGAGAAATTTTAAGGAGAACACTCTGCGCTTATTTCAGAATGGCTATTTACCCCCTCCTGTCCCTAACCAAATGGAAAAACTTTTTCTTCTGTCTTCACCACAAGAGGCTAGGCTCTCCTGTCCTAGGTATCTTAAACTGTCCATTTGACACAGCTTGAGAAGGGAGTCTCAGTGGAAGAACTGTTCAGATCAGATTGACCTGTGGGTGTGTCTGTGGGGGGTTGTCTGGACTGTGACAGAAGCAGGAGGGCTCAGCCCGCTGTGGACAGCCACTCCCCACTCAGGCAGTCCTGGACTGTATAAGAAGGTGAGCTGAGCCTGACCTGAGAGGGAGCTAGCCGAGTTCCTCCATGCTTCTAGTTCCTGCCTGACTTCCACCAGTGATGCCCTATGACCTGGAAGTGCAAGCCAGATAAATCTTTTCTTTCTCTAAGTTGCTTTTTAGTCAGTGCTTTTTCTTTCCACAACAACAGAAAAGTAAACTGTAACAGCTCCCCTAAAGTTCTGAGTCTTATCCCAGTCTCATTCAGCCTCCAGAATTTGTTGGGGCTATTAAGCGTTTCCTCCACGACTGGCTCCAACTGCTTCTGCTTCGGGAAAACTGGCCTGTCTGTGGGTTTTGGGTGGTACTCCTTGTCCTCCGTGAGGCAGGAGCTTGACGGACAAGTGCTCTGCATGTCTACATGGCTGGAGGCACTTTGTGTGTGATTAACATTTTTGGTGAGCTGTGTAGCAAGCAAAGGAGATCATCCTAGAGGGTGCAGACAAGTCTGCCCATCATCCGAGAGGCTTAAAAACAGGAGCCTGGGGTTGCCTGACCAGCTGAAGTCAGGTGAGCTGATTGAGTCCTTCCAAGAAATTAGATATGCATGTACATGTAATGCAGAGAGTTTGTGGACTATATATTATACATACACTATGTAGTACATACAGTATAATACAGAGTCTTGCTATGTATCTTGGGCAGTGCTTAAATTCATAATATTCCTATTTCAGCTGCCTGAGTGCTGGCATTACAGGCCTGCACCGTGTTTGGCTGTGATGAAGTCTCGTGTGCGTGTGCACAGGAGTGTGCATGTGTGTGAGCAAGTAGGCTACAGGTCAATGTCCGTGTTGGGTGTCCTTCTGAGTTGCTGTCTACCTTATTTGTTGGGACAGGGTCCAGCTAAGCTGGTGAGCCAGTGAGACCTGGAGCTCTGCCTGTCCCTCCCTCCCCAGTGATGAGATTACAAACATATTCCTCTAATGTGGGTGCTGGGATCCAGACTCGGGTGTCCATGCTTCCACCGCAAGCATCAACTCAGACCCTAAAATTTTATTTTAGTAAATATATTATTGTTCTGTTTCTCTGACATGATACTATCAAAGAAAACCCATAAATAAATATAAAAGATGGAATAGATTTATTTTTCTCTGTAACTCATTTCTTTTATCTGACTTACATAAACATAATTAAATCTTTGTTGATGGGCCTCATTTACATATCACAGAAGTTTGCAGAATTTAACAAAATGGACAATTCAACTAGAAAAGTTGGACATCTCAATCCCTTACTTTTAATCCCAGCACTCAGGAAGACAGAGGCAGGCAAATCTCTGTGAGTTTGGTCTACAAAGTGAGTCCAGAACAGCCAAGGTTACACAGAGAAACCTTGTCTCCAAAACCCAAAGCCAAAAAGATCAGAACTCAGCCAGACTTTAATTCAGGGAGGCAGAAGTAGGTGGATCTCTATGAGTTCAAGGCCAGCCTGGTCTACAAGTGAGTCCAGGACAGCCAAGGCTACACATAGAAAGTTTGTCTCAAAAACAAAGAAGCAAAACAAAAAAACAAAACAAAACAAAACAAAACAGAACTCTGCCTAATGTTTGGCTCTGGGTCTCTAGAAGAAGAATTAAAGGGACCAGAAAGGTCAAAAGGACACCAGGAAAACAGCCCACATGTTGGAGGTTGGTCTGATGCATATGACTGGTCCTCAAGATCTGGTTATACCTATCCTTGTTTTGTAAATCTGCCTAAGACATACCTGATTGGTTGATAAAACAGCCTATACCTGGGCAGGGCAGAAAGGTTTTTGGGCTTGTGGGGATGAGAGGATCAATAGCAGACAGACAGAGGGAAGAGAGAAGGAGAATGCCACAATGGGTTACTGTGGAGAAAAAACAAAACAAAACAAAAAAAAAACCACATGGGCCTAGAGGGAAGGACTCCAATAATGGTGAGAAAAGGCCCAAATGAAGAATACAAGCAAGTTCCATGGGACTATGGATGGAAGGTAGAACAGATGGGGAGGATTAAGGTTGATGGCATTGGATGGGGGCCAGGAGATGGATAGTGAGGATATTGAGCCAGGGTAGGTGAAATATCTGCCTGGCCCAAGGTAAATAAGGCAATTATAAAATCTAACAGATGTCTGTGTCTTATTATTTGTGATAGCAGGTTAAATAATCCCACCGTGATAATCTTAGAACTGATAATAAACATTATATACTCCAACACTCATTTTTTATTATACCACAACACCCACATACTCAGCTAAGCAGGGCTCATAGGGGTTCACAGAGACTGAAGCAACAGCCATGGAGCCTGTATGGACCTGAACTAAATCCTTGCGTGTATTAACAAGGACTTAGCTCAGACCCATACATGTTGCTTAGCTGGTGTTGTTTTGGGGCTTCTAACAGTGGAGTGGGTGTCTTTGACTCTCTCATCTGACCTTGGGGCCCTTTTCCTTCTGCTGGGTTGTCTCACGAAGCCCTGATGTGAGGGTTTGTACCTGGTCTTATTGTAACTTGTTTGCCATGTTCAGTGGCTGTTCTAGGAGGCCTGCTCTTTTCTGAAGGGAGATGGAAGAAGTCTGGGATTTGGAGGAAGGGATTTCGGGGAGAAGGAAGTTGTTGAAGGAGGGAGCTAGGACTGGAGGGAGAGGAAACTGTGGTCAGGATGTAACTGAGAGGAGGAAGGGGAGGGGAGGAAGGAGGGAACAGAACTAAGATGTATGTTGAAATGGAAGGCTTGAACACCGTTACACACCAGCCAGACTAACACACACATCCAGCACGTCACCCCACTGAGGTGTATTGGGAAATTTAGAAGAGCCATTGTCTCTGGCATGAATTGGAGTGATGGCACCTAGGCTTTGAAGTAACCTTTTGCTGATAGTCAGCGACTGCTATCTGAGGTTTATGGCGTGGCTTTTCCTGTCTTGGATGGTTGAGAGTTGCTTAGGTGGTGGTCCCTTCAGACAACCCCTAGATCAGAGAAGAGATTTCAGTATTTGGAAACTGTCTTGCTAGAAGTGCCTTTTGTGGAACAATGAAGAGGCTTCTGCAAAGGGGTTTGGAGTTCAGGTCCTCAGTCTGGCCCCTGCTGCTAGCAAAGGCCCTGACACATCCCGCAGCATCTCCCTGGGTAACTCAGAGTGCCCACCAGACAGGAGAAATTTGTAAGTCGGATCTAACAAACATTTTTGTACCTTAATAATACTTTATTTTTGTGCTTTAATAAAAGCCACAAAATAGTTGTAAGTTGTGTATCTAATTAGAGACTTGCGTCTTGGAGATATAAAGACTGCTTACAACTCAGCAATACAAAAGAATACCATTTCTTCTCTCTCTCTCTCCCTTTCTGAGACAGGGTTTCTTTGTGTAGCCCCGGCTGTCCTGTAACTTACTCTGTAGACCAGGCTGGCCTTAAACTCAGCGATCTACCTGCCTCTGCTTCCCAAGTACTAGGATTAAAGATGTGCTCCAGTACTGCCCTTCTGAGAATCCTATTTCTTCATGTCCTTTAGCATACATTAATTATTCATAACAATGGGTTTATTATGGCATTTTTCATAGATATATACTTAAGGATTTTTAATGTATTCACTTGTTTACTTTCTATCCCCCCTCTCACTAATCACCTTCCTCTTTCCATCTATTCTCCTTTCTACTTGTTTTTTCTGGGGTTTTTGGAGGGGAGAGGGTTGGTGACTGTGCTGGGTAGTTCTATGTCAACTTGACAAAAGCTGGAATCATCTGAGAGGAGGGAAACTCAATTGAGAAAATGTCTCTATAAAATCAGGCTGTAGGCAAACCTGTAGGGCATTTTCTTACTTAGGGATTGATGGGTAGGGCCCGACCCATGGTGGATGGTGCCATCCCTGGGCTGGTGTCCTGGGTTCTATTAGAAAACAAGCTGAGCCAGCCATGTGTGCAGGCCAGTAAGCAGCACCCTCCATGGCCTCTGTATCAGCTCCTGCCTCCAGGTTTCTGTCCCACTTGAGTGCCTACCTTCAGTGCTTTCAATGAGGAACTGTTATGTGGAAGTGTGAGTGAAATAAACAATCCCCTCCCCAAGCTGCTCCTTGTCAGTGTTTCGCACAGCAGTAGTGACCCTAATGGACAGTGACGCAGTTTCGCTAGGGTTGCTGACAGGAGCAAGGCAATGGCAGCTCACAGGAGCACAGACACCTTACCACTGCTTATGCAACTGAAGGAACTAGAGAAATCTTTAGGGAGAGAAGAGTCTCAGGAGCGAATCCTATTTCTGAAAACAGACAGGTCATCTGAATAGACATTTCTGTAAAAAAAATTCACAAATGACCAATGAGCACAGAAAGATGTTAAATGTCATTTGCTGTGAGGACAAAGCCAGTCCAGTCCTCAGAGAAAGCCTGCTGTACTGGTGAGATTACAGACTCAAAACGGTAGGCGAAGAGTGATGGAGGAAGACACCCTCTACACACCTCTGCACACACAGACACGGATGTGCATGCTTCACACACACACAACCAAAAAATAAAAATACAAAACAAAATAAGCAAGAAACAATAAATAAATACTCATAAAAAACTGTTGGGGTGTTCTGTTCATGCACTGTGTGAAGGTTGTCTTCGGATTGTTCAAATGTTAATTTCTGCACCGGTTCTCCAGGGCTGAGCCCAGTGGCCCAGGTCAAGCTGGTATGTGGGGCCACTCCTGCGCCTTCCCCCACCTTTCTCCCCACCTGACTTTGGACTCTGTTAGGAATCTTTTCCCAGGCTCAAACAACCAGTCAGAAAAGAGGGAGGGAGGGATAGAGACGGCAGGATCAAAATAGTTTGCTTTGGAGGAATTGGGGAGAGGGAAGGAGGGCTAGAAAATATGGATTAGTTAGGTTTGCAGTGAGTTGGTGATTAGTGAAGATAGGCAATGAGTTTGGGGCGGGGCTTGTAAAGCTTTTCTTTACATACATGAGAAAACTTCCACCACAAAAGTGAGAGGGAGGGGAGGAAAGAGAAGAGGGAGAAAGGGGATTGTGACTCTTCCTTCCAGGCTTCCAGTGTGTCCCTCAGTTTGCACATTTTTACACGTCAGTGATATTTTGTGCCCATTCAATTGCCTGGGTGTTTCCAGTTTCCCATTCTTATGCTTCCTCTTACTAGGGATCAGCACAAGGCAGCCAGAAGACAGTGTGGGCCACCCTGGAGCTGGAGTTACAGGCGGTTGTGAGAACCTGATCTGGGGGCTAACGATCAAACCCTTCTTACCTGGGGGAGCAGCACTCTTAATGCTGAGCCATCCCTCTGCCCCCTGCCCCCGTTCTGTACTTTTAAACTCAGAACTGTCTCTAGATAAACACATGGTTGTACATGCTACAAACGTGAGCTGGGGACAGCCCACTCACTGTCCCCCTCCTGCTCCGAGCCCTTCCACACCTGCAGGTCCCGTTGTCCACCTGCAGTTCTAGCACCGTCTGCAGACTCTGACAACGCAAGGTCTCCAAGGTGATGGTCACCTTGCACTCCCCCAGAGGCTGAAGCTGGCCGCTGGAAGGTTCAATGTTGAAGGGGGACACCTGCGGCCAATCCAGAAAACATGGTGAGAAGCGAGGCAGGGGGAAGCGAGGTGCTGGAGGTGGCCTGTACCGGACCACGGTCACCCCAAACTGCCCCTGGATCTCACAGGCACGGAGCCAGCGAGGGGGCAGACAAGCAGGCGTGAGAACGCGGCTGGATGGAAACATCAGGAAGAAGAGAATGGAAACTCAGTGCTCAGGTAAAGGGATGTGCGAGACAGTGTCCCAGTCCCTGGCACAGATCTAAGAAGCGTGAGGCAGAAGAAGCTGCCGGGGGTGGGTGTAGGCGACTGAGAAGGCCAAAGAAGAACAGAAGGGGAGCTTGGGTGCCCTGGAGGGGTGCTCCGGGCAGGCCCAGGTCAACCTCAGACAGCTCCAGCTGAGGCCAGCCACCAGGGATGTCGGGACACTCCATTGGGGGAGGCAGAAGCTGCAGAGAGGTAGCATTTCCTCCTCAGACCTATGCTGGTATCCCTGTGCCTGGAGGCGCCGCATCGGCTGGATTGACCCCACCCAGCCTCATCAGAGGACAGAGTTGAATTTCCGACCCTTCCGGCTTGGAGTGCTGGGAATGCAGGCCTGTGCCTCCAGGCCCTGCTGTATACAGTGCCGGGGGCGGAAATCAGGGCAACTAACAGGTCACATCCCCAGAAATTGAGCTTTCTTGGTCGAGCCTAGGGTTGAGCCACCAGCCATCACCTACTGGCCAGCATTCAAACTGCATCCAGGAGAGCCGAAGGCGGAGGAAATATGGTTTTGGCCAGCCTGGCTGCTTTGCCTGTTTCCTTCTGGAGAAACCCAACACCACCCTCTTCTGCATCCAGTGGTCAAAAAGGGGGAACAGGAAACGCCTGTGAAATTGGGGCCAGAGGACGAGTTCCACCCTGGAGCCTGCTGCCTCAGAGCAAGAGTCCCAGTTCAGACAAGAGCCAAAGGAAGGTCAGTGTGTCCCGTGGGGAGGCCTCAGGGTCCCACTCACGTCCTCCTGCCTCTCTGTCAGGCAGACTGGGCTCTCCTCCAAATGCCACACAGCGACCAGCTGGCTGACATTTCGGATCTGGATGGAGCTTGAAGCCTTCTTCCCCAGGAGGAGCAGACCAAACTGCAGGGCTGCGACGTCAATGACCAGGACGGGGCCCTGACACACCGGAGGGGCTTGTCACGGCCTGCATGCCTTGAAGAGGCCAGGACCTGCTTCTCTCCCTTCCCCCAACCTCTCCAGGCATTCCCAGCTGCCCGGTCCCCCCACCCCCGCACCTTAAAGGCGGCCTCAATGTGGAGCACCACCGGGCAGATGGAGTCTTGGATTTCACACTGCAGGTCCTGACTGGTTGGCCCAGGTACCCCGCCAGTTAGGTTTAACTCAAAGTCCCCCACCTCGTTGGGCTCTGGGGGAGAGGAGGACATGGAGGCAGAGATGTGAGGTGGGGACGGTCTCCTTCCAGGCCAAGGCTGGCTCTGACCACAGGACCACCAGGGTGCCCCCTGCATCCTTCCCCAGGCAGGCCACTCCCTCAGACGGGTGCAGTACCTATGACGCCTGTGCAGGGCTCCACTTCGATGATGTGGCAGTGGCTGATCTTCCCCCACATGTATCTGATGGGCGACTTGCTGTTGTTCCACATCTGAAAGACACGTGCCGCTCCAGGCTGCCTGGGTGCCGCCCTCCCATGCCAGGTCAGGACCCGCCGAAGGACGGTGGCGTCACTGGCTCCCAACGGGTCCCTCTGAGCTCGGCTAGCTGCTGTCCACCTGAAGTCCCAAGCCTCCCTCCCAAGAGGTGCCCCGCCTTCACGTTGTAGGGGTACAGGCACCCAGGAATGAGCTCCACAGCCCTGACTGCAGACGGTTCTGGAACGCTGGTCTAATCAGTCAGACAGGCCTGGCCCAGGAGTGTGAACCCCGGTAGGCTCGGGGTCTCACGAACAGGATGGGGCTCTGTGTTGAGGTATGCTGAGCTCTGTCTGAACTTCTGCCTACGTGCAGCATCGCCTGCCAGCCAGAGCTGTTGAGAGGATGCCTTACCTTAAATTCCTTCTTCACGGTGATGCCAATGTAGCTCTCGCCAGGGATGATGAGGGCGTAGGGCTCCAGGAGGACCTGGAAGGGCTCTGCCCTGCCTTTCACCTCTATTTCCAGGACGATCACATCATCCACCGAGTAGGAGTAGTCCGCCAGGTTCTTCACCCCTGAGCTAAACACAAACCCACGGTGAGCTAGGGGCCGATGCGTCCCCAGGAGCACTGCCCTGCCTCTATCCCGCTTGTTTGGTCTTGTGAACAAAAAGCGCTCCACTGCTCCCATCCCCCAACCCCACAGCCATGCAGCCATGCCTACAACTGTGACAGGGCAGAGTGACGGCGGAGCCTGGCGCACGGAGCTGCTGCTTGCAGGATCAGAGTGCAGCCCCCAGACTGGGACACTGTGTGTCCCTAGAGACCCAGGGAGCAGGGCCCCATGCAAACCTTCCCACAGCAGCACCCAGGGGCCCCCAGCGAGGCTGCCCCACCTAGGCTCAGGCCCTGCTCACCTCAAGGGCTCAGGGACAGCTTCCAGAACCATTTGCAGCACGCTGTGGAAACACTTGAGCTGAAAGAGAAACACAGTGTGATGACCAGCCTCGCCCTCCAGCCTGGTTGCCTAATGGGGAGGGGAGAGGGGAGCTAGGAGACAGGGATTCCTCTTTCCTGAGCCAGGGTTCCAGGGGCCCTGCTTCCCAGCATCCCCTCTCCACCTTAGGGAGAACCTTCTGGTCAGCAAAGAAATTCTCAGCCCCGGAGTCAGACACCAGCTCTGTTCGCACCCTTGGCGTGTTTATGGTACCACACCTTCCCATGTACAGCAAGAAGCCACACAATGGCTCCGGAGGCAGCCACGGACAACTCAGTCTCACACCCTCTAAAACCAGAGCCCTGGCCGAGACCTGTGCCACGTGCTGGCACTCGCTCGGGAGCCCTGCCTTCCTCTATAGGGACTGTGGGGTCGGGGGAAGGGGGAGGTGCTTGTGTGCTTTCCTGTAGCTGAGCTGTGAACATTGCCAGGAACAGGGCACAAGCACAGGCTTTTTCTTGGGGTGGGGGACATGGGGGTCAGAACCAGGAAGCAAGTTGCTGAGTCCTGTGTTCCAGCTCTGCCCTGAACTACCTACGGCACTCAGACACACACAGACACAGGAAAGGCTCATGGTCCCAGTCCCCAGCCGATGGAATGACCTCATAGGGAGAAAAGCTCAGGATGAACTCCTGGTCGGAGTGGGCTGCGAGCACGCCCTTCTCAGGAATGATGGAGAAGGCCGTCTCCCTGTCCGGGTAGCACTTGATGCTGTCTGGGCTGGGCTCTCCGGGCATCAGGGGCTGCAGGTTGGGCTCCATGATCTGCCAGTGGAAGGGCAGCTCCACATGCCTGTGGAGGTGATGGCTCAGTGGCTGGGGTGGCCGGGGCCATGCCTTAACCCCTGAGGCCCTCCCACCCTGGTTGGCCTGCTCTATCCTAAACAGAAAGTGACTGCATTGGGCTTCAAGCTTTTCCCAAAGAGGAGCTGAGGGCAGCTTGGGTAAGGGCCATGGAGAGTCCAGAGTGGAGACCACGTGAAGGTTCCCTCACTGCCACCACAGCAGCTGGAGGCTGACGCCACAGAGCCGGGGCACATGGGCAGTGCAAGACTGTCACACTCCAACCATTATGCTGGATGAGTCCAGGCATGGCCGAATACCAGGGAATGTCTCTGAAGTGTTCCCTACCACACGAGAGCCTCAACACCCACCCCACTCTCACTGTCTGCCTCTAGCCATGGCCTCCGGGGATCATAGCTGTGCTCAGAGAGGCGTGTGCCCACTGGCTATGGGCAGGGAAGGCGCCCGCTCTGTAGCAGCAGAAGGGACAGGCCTGAGGGTGTGCTGCTGGGGTGGTGGGATGAAGTGGGGATGTCAGATTGGTCCCTCCTATCATGTCAAGTGTGTCCCAGGGCTCACTGGAGTCAAGGCTGATGAATGGGACGTTCAAAGGCTGGCCACAGAAGTACCTGGCCCGGAGCTGAGCCCGGACACCCAGCCTGGGGTCTGGAAGGCTTCCATGACTTGGAACACAGAATGACTTCCCTGGAGAACTGTCCCTCGATCCCCACTCGGCACCACAGAATGGGGAATAGGAAGATGCAGGTGGTATGCAGTGGGATGTGGAAGAATGGGGGAGGGGCTCCAGCTGGCTGGTGGGAGGTCAATGCAGAAGGAGAAGGTGGGACACAGGGCAAATACAGCCATGCTGTTTAATAACGCCTCAGAGGATCCCTTCATATTTACCCAAAAGTATATATAATACATAGAGAAAGAGAGAGAGAGAGAGAGAGAGAGAGAGAGAGAGAGAGAGAAAACACGACCATGTTTATATCTTAAAGAACCATAGACTAACAAAAACCCCAGTGCCAAATAAAAAAAGAAAAAGAAAAAGAAAAAAGAAAAAAGAAAAAACCCCAACTCCTTCCAAACGTCTGGTCAAGGCAGTTTAAACGAGTCCCCAAACAGTACAGACTGTAGCCCTTGGTCGCCTCTCAGGGGTTGAGGTCAGCCCCTATTGCTGAAGACACTGCACAGGGATCTGTAGCTCAGGGGACATGACAGAATAAAGGCAGAAAGACAGTGAGAGCCAGGGTAGCAGGAGGTCTTCGAGAAACAGCCTCTTCAAGAAATGGCTGCACAAACCAGACCAGGACAGCGGCAACACAAAGACCCATTAATGTCTAAGGAGAAACCCAGCAGGGTCCCGACCCCAGGCAAACAACTACAGGCAACTAATGGCTGCTGGGAGGAGAACTGGCCTCTCCCATGGATGAGCGCCCTCACTGGTTGTTCAGTCAGAGTGGTAAAAAATGGACTCAGCAGGATATGTGTGTGTGTGTGTGTTTACATATATATATGTATATATATATACATATATATAAAAACATGCCTTATCACAGAAAAAGAGGTTATCAACTTGAGAGTGGGACTGGATATGGGTAGGGTTTGAGACAGGTAGCTGGGAGGGGCTGAATGGAGGAAAGGGGGAATGGGATATAATTCTGTTTTGATTAAAAACAACAAAAGAAACAAACAAAACCTCTTATTCGATTTTGGTTTGGAGGGGTGGGATATTGAGCGCACTGCAACCTGGCTTCCCATGGTGATGAAGACCCTATGGCCACACTGTCCACTACAGTGGCCACCAAGAACTTGAAATGCAGTGGAAGAGCTGAGGAGGTGCTCGTCATTTGAATTCATTCTGACGGTTTAAACAGAGGGAGCCAGTGGGGAGACAGTACACTGGAAGGCCTGGGGCATGAGGTCTCAGGGCCCACATTGAAAAAAGGGCACGAGCCGGTCACAGTGACCTTTGATCCCAGCACTCAGGAGGTTGAGGAAACCGAGCTCTGTGAATTGGAGGCCAGCCTGGTCTACATGGTGAGTTCAAGGTCGATTGAGGCTACATAGTGAGACCCTGTACAAAGCAGAACAATAGCCCGGTGTGCTGGCCCTGTTTCTAATCGAGGTGCTGGGAAGGTGGGAGCCATTGCTGGGCACGAGCAGCCAAGCCCAGGCCAGCCGGTGAGCTCCTGGACAGTGACTCACAGAACACTCGGGGTGCCGCCCGAGAACCCAGAGCCAGGCTGGCCTTCTAGCCGGCTCACACCCACCGCAAACCCCACAACTGTGTGCACAGGAATACACACAAGATATACGTACAGCTCAACCAAACACACACACACACACACACACACACGGCCTCTTCCTCACATACATACCTCATACACCTCACACACACCTCTCACACATATACCTCAAACATACACATCTCACAGGCACACTTCACACGCACCAAATAAATAGTAAGAGTCAGGAGCCTTCTCTCCACCTGGACCCGTTCTGGGCTCACGGCTCCCTGACTCTCAGAAAGCAGCTCTTGGCTCATGGGGATCTGGCTGGAGCAGGGCCAGGTGCGTGTCAAGCACATGTCGGGGCACTCACGTGGCGTTTCTGATAACGAGCTGTTTCTTTGCTGTGGACCGGATGTTTTCAGGCTCAAAGCGGATGAAGTATTGGGCCGTCAAGTCCTTCAGCTCTCCCGGGTCCTGCTCGCTCTTCCCACCAGAAATATAGATCACGTCCAAAGCCACCAGCTGTCCAGTCCCTGGTGGAGGGGAGGAGGCTCGTCGGGTGTCGCCGGGCCGAGGCCGGCACCCTGCAGCCAAAGGTCCCACAGAGCATCTCCGGGTCTTTCTGGACCAAGAGGAGGTGAGTCTGGGAGCCTTGCATGCGTCGGACACTCAGCTATTGACCACCAAGTGGGACCAGACAGACAAATGGAAGGAAGGGAGGAAAGGGCGAGCCGTGTACACCTGGAACCCTTCTGGTACCAACCGTGCCAAAGCCTAGAGGGGTAGGAGGACCTGTGTGTGGGCCACAGGTGAGAGTCAGAGGTCAACATGGACTCCGAGAGTGAGAGATTCCATTAGTAAGCAGGGCCCTGGCTCAGGGGTCCAAGGCAGTGTCCTCTCAGCTCCCCCCCCCCTCCTGGGCGGGTCAGCCACAGCAGGTCAGGCAGCTCCGGGAGCCACGTGCCCACCTACGATGACCAGCTCCTTTATTTGACAGTTGTCACACACGATGACGAAGGTCTCTTCTGCCTTTCCTAGGCCAGTGGGGAGGAACAAGACCTGGGGAGAGGAAGAGTGTGCGTAGCAGAGGCCGACAAAGAGGCAGAGATTAGCAGCGAGGGCAGGGGGCTGGCCGTCACCTCCAGCCGTCTGCCCCTGCTGACCTGGGCCAACAGCAAGGCCTTCAGAAAGACTCTACAGACTCTGACAATGGTTCCGCCCGCTGAGGAACGGGACTACAGAATATGAACTTACGGGAGACAATTCAGATGAAACCCGCACATCCTAGGTTGACTTTTTAAGTTAATGAATCGGTTTAGGGTGTGGGCACGTGGCAGGGCGTGCAGCCTATGCCTGCGGAGGTCAGGAGACCGCCAATGCATCGCCCCACGCCACGAGAGCGCAAGCTCCTGTCTAGAGGCCGAGAACCCGGGTCTGCATGGTGAGGAAGTGAGTCATTAAAACACAGGGGTGGATGCAATCATGGCATCTCTGAGGCAACCACCCAGGGCGGGCATGAGGAGCAGGTCTGATTACTGACCTCCAACAGAATGGCGAACCCCGGGGCCAGCTCAAACACCGAAGGCGTGATGCCAAAGGGAGGCTGCTCCACAAAGCCGGTGCTCGCCACAGCCTAAAACAAAAAAAAGCAGCGGGTTACACAACAATGGGAGAAAATTGCAAAAATCCAACACTCACGCTCTAGGCTTCTCCAAATCGTCATTTTGCTGTCTGAGGGTTTTCAGGGTCCTCCAAGGACCCTGTCTCCCGAGGCTGTGTTTACTCCACCTTTGCCAGGCACCAGGTGAGGCTCTGAAGGTTAAAACCTCTGAAGGTTAGGGGTGAGAAAGCCATGGCGGTCAGCTGATGGCTGGGGAGCAGGTGCCAGGGGGACCAGAGGTATCAGGAGGGCGTCCCAGAACTCCTGGTCTTGCCTGTGGTCGTCACTGCATCTGACTTGTCCCCGCCCCATGTGCTTAGCAGCTTCTGAGGCAGGCGGACACCTGCCATCTTGGTAAACAGAATTGTGGTTTCTTGTTGGCACAAACTGGCCCTCACAAGACCCTACCAGGCAACCCCCATGTCCGGGAAGGGGGGTCTCCTGTTCCTCGGCCAGGAGGCATGGGGAAATGTACCCAGGATGTCAGGCCGGGGCTGCCTGGGCAGTGGGGAGCTGAGACAACAGGACACAACCTAGTCCCAGCCCACAGGGTCACAGCACAGAGGGGGACAGACAGGTACATTCAATCTCCCGCTCTAACGTACTGCATGTCTACATATGTGTCTACACGTGTGTCTGTGTTCATGTGTGTAAGCGTGCACATGTGTGTGTGGGGGTGAGGGCACAGCCTCAAACACTGTTTTTCACCTGTGCTGTCTGTCTTGTCTGGGACAGGGTCTCTCACTGGCCTGGAACTCACCACACAGGCTAGGCTGACCGGCCGGGCCTTGAACGGTCTCCACATCCTCAGACTGGGATTATGCCAGGGTGGCTTTTTAAAAATGTGAATTCTGAGGATTTGACGGGTTTTCCCACTTTACCGACTAAGCCATCTCCCCACCCCCAAAATATCTTTAAGTACTGTGCCAAATAAGCACAGAATTCAGCCGGAGCTGCCCATCTGCGGCCTCAGGTGACACGCAGAGCCGCTTTAATAGTGCTGTGCTAAGTGAGCACACACACCTTGAAGACGGCATTAACAAAATAAGAGAGATGGCCGGGTGGTGGTAGGGCAAGCCTTTAATCCCAGCACTCAGCAGGGAGGCAGAGGCAGGCAGAGCTCTGTGGGTCCGAGGTCAGCCTGGTCTACAGAGGGCTCCAGCACAGCCAGGGCTACACGGAGAAGCCCTGCCTCAGAAGCCAAAATAAAATAAAACGAAAATAAGTGAGAGCGAGCACACACCTCACCCAGGGTCGCCCCAGCGCTCGTGACCGGAAAGCACACCCCTAACCTCTACTCATGCTTTTCCGGTCATGGCAGGTGGATCTGGAGATTACAGCACCCCGCTTTTCTAAGTTTCTGGTCCCCGTGTGATGTAGCGGCCTCCTCCGGGAGCTCATTTGCTTGGCAGCAATCCACAGCCACTCACCCGGAAACTTGGGGGCGGCCAGCTCTTTTGGGGCATGATGCAGAATTTGCCGACACTGAAGCCCACGTTTTTGCAGAAGAATCTGCTGATCTTCACTCCTCCAATGAGGCAGTGGCCACAGTCCAATAGAGGTGACACTGCAGCCACAGAAGGGATTGCTCAGGGAGGGCTGCTGAGATGGCTCAGCAGACAAAGGTGCTTGCTGCCAAGCCTGATGATCTGAGTTCAATCCCCCGGGTGGACACAGCGGAAGGTGGGAACCAGCTCCTACAAGTTGTCCTCTGACAACCACATGAGTGCCATGGCACACACGCGTTCCCCCACCCCACATACAAACACACACACATACGCACGTGTATAATGAACAAATGTGATAAAAGTTTAATTTTTTAAAAAAAGGACAACACATCACTCTGAATGGACTCTGCTGCCATTGTTTCTCTGAGGACAGAGCTCAGAGCAGCCCACCACAGCAGCAGGACCAGTGAGCCACACCCTCACCCTTGAGTCCCTTGGGCTCTGTCCAGGGTGCTGCCAGGTCACATGACTGTAGTCCTGTTGGAATCAGAATCTACTGCAGACTCCCTGCCTGGGCTAGGGAGACCCAACATGGTCTTGGGTATTGTAGGACAAATAGGGGAGGGGCTGAGTTCAGCTGCAGGAGGGACTGGGGAAGCTGGCGTTTCTAGAAGCCTCCCTCCCCGGCCCAGGGCCAACACTACAGAGCTCTTGGCTGGAGGCACAGAAACACCTCCCCCGCAGACAGAGACCCCTGCAGACAGAATGACGGCTGCCGCCGTGGAAGCTGCTACAAGGCTCCTTTCAGGACCCAGAAGCCTCTGCCTGAGAGAGCCGAGATCTGTGCCGCTTCCGGGGGTCCTCACGGGGGCTCCCCAGCCCTAACTGGATCACACACTCACGGCTCAGCACTGGCGGCGGCCTCCGGGCCTGCAGCGGGATCACCAGCATGTGGGCAGACTGCGTCTCAACCAGAAGGAAGTCATCGAAGTCCCCAAGGCAGTCCGGGATGAACTGGACGATGTACTGGCACGTCATCCCAGGGGCCACCATCCCGCCTTTTCCCGGGAACATCCCTGTGTGCCACAAACGCGACCAGTGAGGGTGAAGCTGCCTGCCGGGGCTTGAAGTTACCGTGTTTCTAATTCTGTCGGATTGAATATTTGCTCAGGAGGGAGGAGAGAGCACCACAAGGCTTGGGAGCCTAGGTTAGACAAGGAGCGATTGCCGAGGGCACGGACACTCTCCCGTGAACTTGCCTGAAGTTGGGCAGTGAGCTCTGGGGACAGAGCTCTTATGAGTGGTCACATGGGAGACACAGCTGCCTTTCGGTCACCCATGAGCCCCCATCTCCCTTCATTTGTGATCCTGTAAGCAACCCCCCTAAACTCGCTGCCTCGCCAGGTTAGGCTTGGCTGGAACGGTTACTTGACCCTGTCATTGGGGCCTTTCAGGGGTGAAGAGACACTGGCTCACATCTCCCCGGGAAAAGCAAGGCAGTAAACACCAACCACAGCTGGATCAAGGCCAGGATGACAGCAGAGATGCCTAGGGCGGGCAGGGGTAGCACTAAGGTAGCAATACCAAGGCCCAGGCAGGAGCGGGATGGCCTATGTGAAGTGGATCATCAGGGGCTATCTGGCCCTGTGGCACGGGGATTATCTCCTGGGCCGCCTTGCAGAGCCGACAGTTTCTCACTCTGCACTCAGGCTGGCCTCAGAATCGTGTCAATCCTCCCTTGGCCTTCCAAGTGCTGGGATTACACTCGGGAGCCACCACGCCTGACCAATATGAGGCACGGCAGACAGCTGGAAGGCTGGTTGGAAGATTGCCATGGTGATGAACAATGAAGAGTACCTGCTCGAGGGCAGCCAGAGCATGGGGGACAGGGAGCTGGCAGAACCTGTGCCCTGAGGAAGGTGAGAGGGCAGAGAAGCTGACAGGACTCAGGGACCTCGATGGGAGAGAGTGGCAGGCTGGGTGCTGAGCCCGAGGGACCCCAGGGACTGCTGAGGGAGCGAGCCGTGGGCAGAGCTCAGGACAGGGCCCGAGAGCCAGCTCGTCACAAGTTGGCAGCCTGTCCTGCAAATGGTCTGAGGCAGTGTAGACACTACGACCGTGAACTCACCAAGCCCAAGAGCGAAGTATGGAGAGGACGGAGGGAGGACGCGCACGTACCGGCTGGTCGCAGTGGTGTTCTGTAGAGCAATGACCATCTGTGCAAAGGGAGGGGGCACTTTCAGCTGCCCGTGGTGCTCGGCATGGCGTCAGGGTCCCTCCCCCACGGCCCGTGCGTGTGTGCGTGCGTGCGTGTGCGTGCGTGTGTGTGTAGGTCAGAGGACAACTTGTAAGAGTCAGTTCTCCCCTTTCTACCACGAGGCCTCTGTGGTAGAACTCAGGCTGTCAGGCTTGGTGGCAAGTGCTTTACCCACTGAGCCGTCTGACCAGCCCAAGTTTAAATGAGACAGGAAGGAAGAGGGTTCTGAACGAAATGGGCTTGGTCATGCTGGCAATCACTGAAGCTGGGTGATGGGTATGTTGGGATTCTTTTTGCTATTCTATCTACTTTTAGTTAGGGACAATTCCATAGTAAAATTAAAATACAAAACCAGGCATAGTAGAACACACTTGTTTTGCCAGCACTGGGAAGCCAAGGCCCAAAGGATAGGTGTTGGTATAATGTTCTTTTGAAATGTATACACCTTACCCTTGTTCATTCAGATGCTGATTTCTACCCCCCAATCTCTGATTTCAATCCAGATATTGCACTGTGATATTTATTTTAAGCATCCTGTCTCAACTTTGTGTAAACAGGCCAAAATAAAGCAACTAGCCACAATGTTAAGCAATGGGAGGAGCCAGATTAATAGTAAATATTAATAGTAAATATTAATCATCACCTACAACAGATAGGTGTGAGTTTCAGGCCAGCCTGGGCTATGTAGGGAGTTGTAGATCAGCGTGGGTTACAGAGTAAGGCCCTGACTGCGGGAGTTTCTTGAAGCCCTCCTCCCCCAGATAAACTACTAAGTAAAATGAAAATTTGAGTTGATTCAGTGCTTCTTTCCTAATGTTTAAAATGATAGCTACAGTTGTCCTGACCATCGATGCTCAAGGGGACTGGAGTTGGCTCAGGAACCCAGCAGGGACCCAAATCTGTAGATTTTTAAGTACAGTATTTACATCCAACCCACTGTGGAGGTTAGTCAACCTGGCTAGAATCCCTGGGAAGCGTCTTAGTGAGGGATTATTTAGATCAGGTTGGCCTGTGTCTTTGGGGGGTTGTCTTGATTTAATTAATGAAGAAAGCCCCAGCCTATTGGGGGCACCATTCCCTAGGCAGGGATCCTGAATTATACAGGACAGGGGAAAGCAAGCAGGCAGCCCAAGTGTGTTCATTTCTCTACTCATGACTCTGGCTGTGATGTGACTGGTTTCTCTGGTTCCCACTCTGACTTCCCAGTGGAGATGCTGCAACCTGGAATTTTAAGCCAAGCAAAGCTTCTCTTCCCTAAGTTGCTTTGGGCCAGAGTGTTTTACCACAGTGACAGAAAGGATGCTAGAACACCTACATACAGACTCCGTACACCTTAAGGCATCTATACATTTCCCATCATCTGCATCTTTCCCATCATGAAGGTAGTACCATATTGGTTGTTCTTAGCCTGTGCTGCTTAGGGAACAGGAAACAGCCCCCAGGTGGCCAGCGTAGAGGAGAGCATGGTGGGAATAAGTACAGGAGACACGAACAAGACTCACTCAAGGTGAAGTGGTGGGACAGGGTGGCAGGGTGTGTTACACACCAGTTCATCCACGAGGGTTCAGCACAGTGCTCAGCACAGAGGAAGTCCAAGTTTTACTTTGTGGACTAGTCTAGAATTTACACACACACACACACTTCACACACACACACACACACACACACACACACACACACACACACACACACACAGAAAGAGCACTGAGTGAGGAGTAAATGCTAGTTCCTTCCCCTCTCTCATGCAGTGTTCGTTAGCAGTGTCCGTGGCTCAGCCAGTCTACTCTGAAAATCTCTTCCTCGATACCCAGGGGCATCAGGGACACTCATCAAGGCTGACTCCTAAAGCTGACCTCTTCTGGAGCCCCCCCCCCCCCGAGTCTGGGCTGGGTACTGACTATGGGCTGCCCGGGCAGCAGTTTCAAGACACATTCACACATCGCCAGGTCTCCCGCTGACCAGCACCCCGCTCTCCCCAGAGTGCCCTCCTCCAAGTGCTTCACTTCCCAGCACCTCTGATACTTTAGGCCCATTGACTGTCTTCCCTGTGTCATCTTCAGAGTCAACTAGTGCTTCAAAGACTCCCGGTCCCTCCCCCCCTCTCCCCATCCCTCCACCCCCATTCCCCATGCTGGCTGCCTCCACCTCCCAGTGCTGGCAGTACCACCATGGCTAGTTTTATAAAGCGCTGTGCGGGAGGGAGAGGGTGAAAGGCAGGCTTCACACCTGCTGGGCAAGCACTGCCCACTGAGATTCACCCCGGCCCTGCTCGATCCTTCTACTGGAAAGCAGGATTTCAGGGCTTAACTCATGAGCTAACGGCTTACAGAACGATGCTGCTTTTCTGCCCCGGGGATTGCTGGGAAGTAAAGTAGGAGCGCTTTCCTGTCCATCTGGATTTGCTCCTGTGTCTCCCCATTGGTATGTGTGTGTGCATTTCTTATTGTGTGCATGTGTGGGTGCTTTGTCCGAGTACACACAGGAGCATTGTGCGCTTCAGGCGAGAGTGTCACATGACCGTGCTTGCCTGTGGAGGCCAGAGCTTAAACTCAAGCACCACTCCTGGGGAGCCATGTGTCCTGTGTGTGGGTTGGTTGTGTGTGCACACATGGTTTTTGCATGTTTGGAGGCCAGGACTCGACGTCAGGCGTTCTTCTGTATCATTCTCCATCTACCTTTGAGTCAAGGTCTCTTGTTAAACCTGGTGCTCACTGACTGGCTTGGCTGGCTGGTCAGTGAACTCCCAGGATCCTCCTGAGTGGTCACCTCCCAGCACTGGGGTTACAGGCGACACCACCATGCCTGGCTTTTCACACTGGGGTTGGGGATCCGAACTCAGGTCCTCATGTTTGCCTTGTAAGTACTTTACCCACTGGGTCATTTCCCCGACTACACACGGTTTTCATGTCATAAATTCATGTTTGAACCTCAACTACAATCCAGCACCATTAAATTCATTCTACCTTCCCTCTTTCTTTATTTATGAATGCCTGCAACTATAAAGCATGTTGCCTTCACTCATATATACATATAAATACATATATTGTCTTTAAGACTCTTTTTTTCATGAGGCAAGGTTTCTCTGTGTAGCCCTGGATGTCCTAGAACTCACTCTGTAGACTAGGCTGGCCTTGAATTCACAGAGATCCGCCTGCCTCTGCCTCCTGAGTGCTGGGATTAAAGGTGTGCACCACTGCGCTCAGTTTAAGATTTTTGTTTTCATTATGTGTCTGTGTGGGTGTGTGCGTGTGAGTGTGGGTGTCTGTGGCGGTCAGAGCCACTGGGATCCCTGGGACTTGTGAGCCTCGTGAAGTGAAGTCTGGGGTTCTATTTTAGGTCCTCTAAAATAGCCGTCTCTCGGTTAGCCTGGTCTGGCTGCTGACACCCTCTAGCTGAGGACAGCCTGGCATTCCCCAGTCTCCTCCCTCCAGCTCCCAAGCTCCGCCTCACCCAGCTATGGTTCTTTCTTTTTCTAAGTCCTGTGAGCTCAAGATAGGTAATGACCTGCTGGGGATGCATCCTTCAAGAGAGGAGAGGCTGTAGGGTATAAAAAGACACAGACCAGCTGCTGCAGTGGGCTGGCAGGCACATGGACATGCACTGGGCTTCCCCCACTTTGGGGTGTGGTTCAGAAATGCCACGACGTAAAGAACCAAGATTTCTACCTCGTAAACTGGTCCAATCTGGTAATCTGTGAAAAATGCAATTGAGGGCTTTGCCAGGAACACCGGGGCATCTGCACAGCTGTGGGAGTGAAAGGGGAAGAAAGGCTGTGAGTTTCCTGCCTGACACAGAAGAACGCGGTGATTCATTCATTCACCCAGCATGATGTGGTGGCACACTTCTACACTCCCAGGACCATCAGAAGTTCAAGGCCAGTGTCAGCTATGTATCAAGTTCAAGGCCAGCCTCAGCTACTCCAATCCCTCTCTTAAAACGCCAGAAGGAAATAAACTCATGTATGCTATCAAAGGTGTTCATAATTGGCTGTTTGTTGGGTTTTCGGGTGGATGTTGACTAGGTTATAAGGTACTTTAGGGCTGAAGAGATGGCTCGTGGCTAAGAGCACGCACTGCTCTCGCAGAGGGCCCAAGCCTGCTTTTTTGAACCCACAGCACCAGGCAGCTTACAACCACCTAAATCCCCAGCGCCAGGGGAAGATCAGATGAAGCCCTTGGGCACCTGTGTCCCCCCACCCCCAGACACACACATACACTTAATTTTAAAATGCTTAAGTTAATCTCAAAATAATAACAATTTTAAAGCATGATGCAATTTTGGGGAAGACAAACATTTAGAATTTTCAATAGGAATAAGGAAATTCTAGGAGCTTGAATACCAACATGTTAACTGGGTTTTTAATACGGTTTTCTGTATTTCTTTTAATCTGTATGTGTGCATCTGTGTGGGAGGGGTGAGGGGTGAGGCATACAGTGGGTTGCTTACTCACAGCCAGAGGAGGACCTCAGGGGTGTTCCTTTGCTGTCTGCCTTGTTCTTTTGAGACAGGGTCTCGCACTAAACCTGAAGCTTGCTGTTTTGGCTAGGCTGGGTGGTCAGTGAGATCCCCCTGTCTCCACCCACTCCCTGACACTGGAGTTACAGGCTCAGACCCAGATTTTGATGTGCGTGCTGGGGATTTGAACTCAGGTCCCCATACTTGCACAGCAATCATTCGTACATCCTGAGCCACCTCCCCAGGCCCAGCTATCAGTCTCTTGAACTTTTCTTTATTAGCGTGACTCTGTCTCATACTTGGAGACAAACTGAACTTACAGAAGAAAGAGTTCTCCTGTGGTCTGCCTCAAATTCCCAGGGGTGGAAAAGTAGGCAGAGGAAGAGAGATTTTTGTTGAGTTGAATTCATGTGGGCATGGGGTCCCATTACACTAGGCCGTGCCTGTGGTGTTATGATTGATCTATAATGCCCATGTAATTAACTACTATTAAATGCTTAAATTTTTTCTTTATAAAAAGATACATTAGTAGTTTTAAATATGCTAAAGCAGTTCATTCCTTTAAGATAATTACTGAAATGTGGCCAAAGACAGTCTCTTAAAGAAAGAAAGAAAAAAATCACCATTTACCTTAATTACTTGTAACTAATGCTGAGTATTGCTGTTACCTAAGACCTGTGAACGCCTTGTGTGACAGTCCATTTTCACTGAGAAGGTGACTGGATTTAGAATCACCTAGAGGTCTGGTGAGACACACCTGTAGGTGTGTGTGAGTGTGTCCAGGGAGCTGACTGGAGAGGAAGGCCCCGTCTGAGCAGCAGCATCCCACAGACCGGGAGACAGGCAGGAGCCAGCCAAACCATCCCTTTCCCCACGAACTCAACTGCTCTGGCCTGCCACATCCTGCCATGAGGGATTAAACCTTCCGAGCCGGGAGCTGGCTCACCCTTCCCTCCCCCACCTTGTTTTTTATGAGGTGTGCCGTCACGGCATGAAGAGAGTGGCCAGTACACTGTGGAAGGGTCACATGACTGCAGCCATGCTCTCCTGCCCAAGTCTAGGGACCTCCTGAGACCAGATCCAGAACCTTCCAGTGTCGGGCTAAAGGGTCGGGTTTTCTGGGGTTCTAAGGAAAGATGCACCTCCACTCTGGCTCCGCACCCACGGTTTCTCCTCTTCTTTCGGGCTTCCTTGAAGGGATGATTAGAGACCTGCCTCCATGTGTCGTGTTAGGTGGGAAGAAGCGAGGGTTCTTCAGGAAATGATTCCGCTCCTCCATCTTGGCAAGCAGCAGTCTCTCCTCGGCCCGCTGGGGCACCCGGAGGTGTTTCATCCACTTCTTGTTCTTCGGTGTACTTGCCTTCACACAACATGAAGGTACAGTCAGTAACAGGCAAGTGGACATCGGCTTGGAGGGCCACAGACGGACAGGGCAGACTCCTTCCTCCCACTCCCTCCCCGCACCCCAGGTCCCCACGGGATCCAGCTCTAACCTTGACAGCGCCTTTGGTTTTTTGTCTGGCTCTAGGAAAAACTGAGGTCAAGGTGTCTTCGGTGTGCTCAAACTCGTCAAGCGGGACAGACTTCTGGCAGCCCTCGTCAGCCTTCTCATTCAGGTAAGCCTTGCGCGTAAAACACTTCTCATGTTTAACCGTCAGTTTTAAATACCTAGGGGTGGAGGTGCCTAGGGTGCCAAGGGAACATGCGTTAGCCGTGTGGCAGCAAGGACAACGACAAGGACCCTAAGGTGAGCCACAGTCACATTCCCCTCAACACCCTCACATTTACAACACCAGACACCTTTAGTCAGTGTGTGAATTATCCCCGAGGTTTATTCCATGTATTTGAGACATGGCGCTAATGGTTAAAACAGCTTCCCATTTTCCAGTATGATTAGATAACAAAAAGCAAATGAATCATTGCTAGACACATACCCTACGTGTAAACAATTTTAAAAAATAGTTTAATTTCTCTTTCATGTGCGTTGGTGTGAGGGTGTCGGAGCCCCCGGAACTGAAGTTACAGACAGTTGTGAGATGCCATGTACGTTCTGGGAATTGAAGCCAGGTCCTCCTGGGAAAGCACCATCTCTCCAGCCCTAACCCTCTTTTAAAATGATATTATTAAGGTCTTATTTTTATTATGTCTTCTTTGTTGGGGACATTCTCAGCACTTGTATGGAAGTCAGAGGACAGCTCTCAGAAGTCAAGCCTGGGCATCGAACTCAGGTCACCAGGTTTGGTGACAGCTGCCTCTAACAGCAGAGCCTTCTCTCTACCCTCTAGTGTGACCTTTTTTTTAAGCCTCATGTGAGGAAACGGCATTTGTGTTCGTCTTTTTTTGTATCTTTAAGACCATGCCGCCAAGGCCAGACGGGCACTTCTGCTGCTAGCCAAAGTGCAACCACCACCACCCCCGCCCCCATCTTAATACAATGCCCAGGGAGCCCTGGAGGAGGGGCGGGTGTCCAAGCGCTGACGCGCAGCCGATTCCGCCGCCTCCTTCTGCGTTTCTCTACGTGGTGTCTCCTTTCCTCGTCACCCACCCTCACTCGGGTCCCACCCCAGACAGGGACAGCTGCAAAGCACTTGTCCCAGCCCGGCACAGCTACAGAGTGTCGACGCCCGCACCCAGCCTTCACAGCGGCACGGCGTGTCTATACAGTGGCTCCTACAGAATCCACCTCCGGTGCCAGCCTGCGCACAGCTTCCTATCCTCTTCACTCCTGGCTCTCGCCTCCTGATCGCATCAGGAACTTGACCTGCTTATCTTGATGTCTTCAGCCCCTCCCTTTGCTGGTTCATTCAACTATAGCTAAACATGTTTTTTTTGCATCTCTGAGCAGCCAACCAGGGCACCAAATCCCACGTCGGGGAGAGAGGACGTTTGCCTTGAAAGGACTGAACTAATGAAGAGGAGGCAGCTCAGATAACACTATTCCAAAACACGGTAGCAACTTAAGAAAAGGAAGGGAAGCCAGTGCGCAAGGAACTAGCAGCAAGAGTGGCTGAGGCGGGGCCGCAGTGCCACCTGTCCCTACACCCTACCTTTGGGTGCTGAGCAAAACGGCACAGGATCGTTGTAATAATCCTCCGAGCAGATTAAGTGGTGCTTCTGCAGCAGGTTGTTGTCTATACACCAGCGGAAGATTGTCCTCACTGTGGAGGGGGGAGGGGCAACGGCAGTTAGGCCAGAGCCAGGGAGAGGTAGCTGAACCCACGCCTCCATTCTCCAAGCCTATGTGTCCCAAACAGGCTCTCAGAGTCCTGTGGGGAAGCTGAGACCTAAGAAATGAATGACCAAAGATTTCTCAGCCAACAACTGGGTGAAGCTGCGCACGCGGTGAGAGAGGGTAAACTTCCACAGGACATGGAGTGGGCGATGGCATAGGGCGAAGGACAGTAGATGCCACGGAAGCCCATTCTTCACCCTTCTGCCTCTGTCCTTGGCAATGTTGCTAAGATACAGTGTCACCAATAGCCGCAGCCTACAACAGGTGTTCCAGGTTAGCGGCATCTTATTAGAAGAGCTGGAAAAGCACAGACAAATAGCAAAGCCTCAACAAGTTCTATTTAAAGAGACACCGGACACGCACTTCAAGGGCTATTTGAGCTAGCGTGCCCACAAGCCTTAGTTGTGGTTTGGGGCTTCTTCTGGTAAAGTTTAGGGGGAGGAGTTGGTGGCTAGGGGGTGGCCTGTGAGTGGGTCTTTGTCTCCATCGATAGACTTGGATTATGCAAGCCTTTTTTCATTGTGCATGTCCTTTCCCAGGATGCATCTGATTTTAAGCATATGCTTGCCTAGTTATGCATATGCATAAGATGACCATAGGGAAATTCCCTAAAAGTTTACCCAGAGGGCAGTTTGCCTTGCTGTGCATCTGGATATGGTTCAAAACATGCACGGCCACAGGGAATGATTGTTGGGTGCAATTTATTGCATGTCTGAAGTGGGGTGTACATGTAGCTGATGCAGGTGGGGAGTGTGTCCCAGGCTCTTCACTGTTGGAAGGCAGCACGTGCTTGTGGCTCAGGCCAGGCAATAGTTCTGAGCTTCTAGGCATTCCCATGCTTCTTGTCACAACAGAATGATCCTCTTTGCTTTTGGCTTTGGCCAGCTGATGGTGGCAAGGGTTTGGGAAGTGCTTGGTGAGCGCTGGCCATCAACAGAGAAGAGCCTCTCGGCCCTTCATCCCAGACTCCAGCATGAAAGCCTCTTGGCGAACAGCTGAGCCCAGTCTACCACAAGCAACAACTATGGCTTCAGCCAACTTCACTGACCTGGTGGCACACTAGAGGAAGTCACTTAATAGAGCAAAAGTTGGCGTTTGCGGTTGATGAGCCGAGAACTGACAGTACACAAACACCCATATATAATTTACAACACTAGTATCTAGGAACATTAGCAGGAAATGGATGCCTCTGGCAAGCGGCATGAGGGAGATGTGATCGCCTCTGGCAGGTGTGCGAGGGTTTTGTTAAAATAGATGTTTGTTTGTTTATTGTGTGCCCGTGGGGGCCATGTAGGTGCCACCCTGCATGCGTGGAGGTCAGAGGACAACTTGCAGGAGTCAATCTTCCATCACACAGGTCCTGAGGACTGAACTCTGGCTGCGAGGCTTGGCAGCAAGTGCCTTTGCCCACCAAGCCATCTGCCAGCTTTGGACCCTGCAGTAGTTAGAAACTGGCACCCCCACCGAGAAGGCCTGGGAGTTTCCATGTCCCTGTGCCCTGTGCCACGTGTAGCTCTCCCCATTACTGGCATCCTCCATAGAATAGCACACTTGCTCCAAATGATGAGCCTACATTGACCTTTTACTATCACTCAAAGACTTTGGTGGGGACAATAGCAGTCCAACTGGACACAATCCAGCCTAGGTCCGAGGACTTTGGTGACGGCCATGTGACAGGACAAAAGATCTTGTCTCTTTTCAAACCTTCTCCTCAGTCCTCCCAGGGTGTAGGGGTCAAAGTGGTTTTTGTTGTTGCTTTATTTGTTTGTTTAAGTTGGCATATGAAATAATAAAAAAACAAGCTTTTTCTTAACTATATTTTTACGCACGTATCACTGAACATCCTCTTCAACAGTTTTAAAAAAGATTCTTAAGTGTGTATGTGCATACATGTGTGCGTGTGTGTGTGTGTGTGTGTAGGTGTGTGTGTGTGTAGGTTGTGTGTGTGTGTGCCTTGAGAGGGGGTGGGTGGAAAGAGCAGTGCTGGAGAGGGCCAGAGGCACCCCATTCTCTGGAGCCAGAGTTACGGTGGCTGTGAGCTGCCTGTCCTTGGAACTGAACCCAGGTGCTCTGCACGAGTGGAATGTGCTCCCACCCGAGCCCTCTCCAGCCCTCGCCAAGCTCCGAAGAGTCTCTTTCCATCTCAGACCTGGACCTGTAGAAACCCGGTGCCAACCCTCGTGATGCTCTTCTTCCTTCTAGGAAGGGTCCCTTAACGGATCCTGTGGCTGCTGAGCATGGCTCTGCACGTCTCTAGGAGCTTGTGTACACCACCCAGCGAGGACGGAAATGAGCACACAGGCTGTCCTGAACAGTCCTGACCTTTCTCCACTCACATGGAGAAGTGAAAGGTTCTTCGCCTTCTGACAACTGTGTTAGTGGTTGTGTTAACAAAGGGTGCTTTGTGCCTGAAATTGCAAAAGCAGCTGGAGGATGTCGTGGGGTTGCCTGCCCTGCCCTGAGGTGCAGGGACCAGATGGACGTCTGTAAAGATGGTCTAGAGCTTTTCTCTACACTTTGAAACAAAAGAAAGACACATTACAAGCGGAAGGACGGGAAACCAGAGCGAATGAGGTCTGGTCGAAGTTGGGCTCCCGTAGTCGTGCACAATTGCAATTCCAACTTTCGAGGTGGAGACAGGCCAGTTCCTGGAGCTCACTGGCCAGCCAGCCCAGCCTAGCTGGTGACCTTGACAGGAGAGGTCAGAGGAGAAGGCATGGCAGGGTGTCTGGGGGAACCTAAACAGAACCTGTGGTTCAGGGACCAATGTCACACCAATGCTGAGACCCTGGCTCGGAGCGTCAAATGTTGGCCATGTGGTACACTGCTCTTCTTGGTGGTGGGGGGAGGGGCACGCGCACTGGAGTGTTTTGTGCTGCTTCACTGTTGTGTGCAACTTGCTCTCCTTACGTCCAGAAGAGAGTGGGCAGTAGAGCGCCCACTCAGGATCCCGTGCGATCCTGACTAACTAGGGGAGCAGGGGGACACCCTCCACCTACCCGGGGGCAGCTTGACAGGGGTCTCCAAGACGTGCTGTCTGGCCTGTCTGGTGGCGTGCTCTGTTTCTGCGAGGTCCCGAGCGCGGGCTTGGATGATGTGTCTCTCCAGCATGGACACCTCTTCCAGACGCTGCTTATAGACCTCTCGGACCTGCGGGCGGGTGTCCAGATACACAGACACCTGATGACATCCTACATTTCGGCCTGCCCTCTGCCCTTCCACATCAGGGCTTTCAGCCCAGCCCGGGGCAGCTACAGAACTATCAAAAGCCCGCTGGTCCAGCCTACCAGATGTAAAACCTGAGGTCAGGAGACTGGAAATGACGGTTTCCTGATGTGGTCCATAACGGTCGGTTTCCCAGTAGAGAGAGCCACGACCCACACTGAAATGCAGACCCATTTTGGTACACCAAAGTGAGGCTACCCAAACCTTGCCTCGGGAAAGGCCCTGCTCTCTAGTTCATCAACAACTGCTGGACAGCCTCACTGACAGACTCTGTTGTCTGTTTAAGCCATTGGCTGGCATCTTTTTCCTGCACCCACATCTGGTGTGCATAAAGCCGTGGCGTTTTTGATTCAAAGAGAAGTGTGGTCAGGCGACTTGCTACCCAGAGGCATTTGCTGCATTGTTTTGGAGGCGTGGAAGGCTGCATGGATATCCCTGCTGCTAACACTATTTGCTGCTCTTCCGGAGGACCTGAGTTCAGTTCCTAGCACCCACACCAGTCAGCTCCCAACTGCTTGTATGTGCAGCCCCCAGGACATCTGACATTGTCTCCTGGCCTCCAAACACATGAGTTAAAGCACATGCAGACACACACACACACACACACACACACACATAAAAAGCAAATATTTTAAATTAGTGTAGTGTGTGTGTGTGTGTGTGTGTGTGTGTGTGTGTGCATGCATGCACGAGCAGAGGCTGGAGGAAGATAGTAGGTGCTCTGCTTTACCATCCTTCACCTTACTCTCTTGAGACATGGTCTCTCACTGAATTGGAGAGTAGTCATGGTGGCCAGCCATCCCCAACAACCCTCTAACCACCACAGACAGTGTTGGGGTACAGGCAATCAGCCATGCCCAGGTTTTTTCTGTGAATGCTGGGACCTGAACTTAGGTTGCAAGCTCTCCCGCCCGCTGACCCTCTCTCCAGCCCAAACCTACTAAAATTTCCACGTTACAGTCTCAATTCACCTTCTGTGGCTCCGCCCTGCTTCTGTAACTCTTGCAAACCTTCAACCCTAAACTCTGCCACAGCGTGGACATTGAGAGGTCCAGCCTGGCTGTCCCAGCATGGGCTTCAACTGGTTGACAAACCAGTCAGCCAAGCTTCTGACCCATATTCTTGGGACTGGAAGCAAAGTATTTCCAGGGCTGGGCGGCAGCGGGGTTACTTAAAAAGTAGTGGATGGGAGGACAGTCCTCTCCTCATCGCCTTCCTAGAACTCAAAGACGCCCATTTAGTCATTCATAATTGATGTCCATTTTTTTAATCTGTTGGCGGGGGCTGCGGTGAGCTATGGCATGCTATGGTGAACTTATGGAGGCCAGAGGAGAACTTATGAAAGTCAGTTCTCTCCTTCTGCTATGTGGGTCATGGGGGAGAGAAAACTCAGGTCACCAGGCTCGGCAGCAAACCGTCATTTCCAGTCTCCTGACCTCAGGTTTTACATCTGGTAGGCTGGACCAGCGGGCTTTTGATAGTTCTGTCCGCCTCTCCAGCTCTAGCCATTCTTTGAGAGGAGCTGAGTAGGTATCCGGTGAAGGCTAGGAGGTACTCTTCTTGTGGACCGGAAACCTCCTGAGGAAGCAGTGGCCAGGGCAGCCTTGAACATAAATTACTGTGTTTAACTCAAGGGTCCCATTTCTTGGACCTTCCAGAAAGCCCTGATCCTAATTCCTGAATGTAAGTATCAGGATCCTACCCAAAGCCATCAGTTAACAATGCTTTGCTGAGCTGACTCAATCCTCAAAGCCATACAAGTTGTCTGTAGCGGAGGCAGGGGTATTTTGACCTTGTGTGCTAAGTCATCAGACCAGTGAGACCATGTGGACCCCGGATCAAGACAGCCCTAAGCTCCTTTCCATGGTAACTGCAGAGATCAATAACCATGAAAACACTGAAAATGAGGGGCTGCTGAATCTTGAGGCCAAAGCCAGAGGCAGGGTAGGGTGAAGTAGAAACTGTTTTCTGGGAACAGTTTGGCTATTGAACTCTTGATTTCACTCTGTCGAGATTACCTGCCCAAGACAGGGTCTGTCAATCAATATCCTGCCACTGGGAACGAGGGTGGGGGGTGGGGTCACAGCGTATCAGTAAGCAGGTTTATCTGCTGGGTCATCTTACCAGCCCCAATATTTTCTTTTTAAAGTTTTTATTGTTGTTGCTGTTACTGGTTTTTTGTTTGTTTGTTTGTTTGTTTGGCTGTTTTACGTTTTGCATTGCTGAGGGTCGTGGGCCCTACACTTGCCAGGCAAACATTCTACCATTGAGGTGTGTCTGTCTTGTGATGCATTCGAGGCTACTAAGTTCCCACTGCTCAGGCCTGGGCATAGCACACACGGTATGTGTTAGATGAGGAATGAAGGAAGCTGTGACCATGCCGTGTGAGGGGCATGTGAAGGACAGAAAGAGTGAAGAAGAACCATCCCAGAGGAGAGTTGAGAAGGGAGTCCCCAACCAGTGCAGAGAAGAAAACCAGAGATGTGGGCAAGAACACCTCAGCCATGACTGTGGTTAGTGACAGAGTCACCCAGGGAGGAGGTGACTTGGACCTCATCACCTCCAAGAAACGAACTACAGAGCCTCTGCTCGGGTCGTTTCATTTATATTTGCAACGAATACTGTGCACTGCGCAGAGAAAGGCGCTGGAGGTGCCATTTATATGCGTATGTGTAAAGTTTGGATAGGATTCTTCACTCGGCGCGGCTGCAACCGGAGCATCGCGAGAGCGTCCCCACCGGCTGTACCTGCTGCAGCTGGTCCAAGAACTCCTCTTGGCGCGCATCATCACTGCCGCGGGCCTTGATCAAGCTGTCACTCAAGTCCTCGCCGATCACCTGGCTGGTGTACAAGTTTCGGAAGACCCGGGCAAGCAGGTGTGAGATGTCCTGCGTGCGCAGCGAGGCGGGGCGCAGACGCAGCATCTGCGGCTCCGGCAGGGCCGGGAGCTCTTGGAACCTGGTGCGGAGGAACCGCGTGGGGAAGCCGTACTGGCAGCCATCGGTGAAGGCGAACGACGATGGCAAGGGGGACTTCCTGTTGAGCCAGCTGGGGCTGCTGGACCCGGCCGTGTGCGAGGTAGACTCCCACACGGTCTCCGGGAACATAGCGGCCGGAGAAACTGTGGTTCGCAGCTTCTCCGCGCTGCCCGGTTCCATGGCAACAGAGACGCCGCAGTCTCCGTGTCCTACTTCTGCTTCCGGCTCCGCCCCTTCCGCCTAGGTTTTCTTTTGAAGGGCGTCATCCCTGTCGTCATCGCAGAGGCTTGCATTCCTTGCGTCTAGCTAGGTGGTCTAGGCTGGCCCGAAGTCACCGCTTTCCCTCCTCCTCCTCAGCCTCCCGAGCGCCGGACACAGGCGTGCATTGCTGTCAGCTAGTAACTCTTTTATTTTTTTCTCTGTAAAGGGTTATTTTTAGTCTCTGTCTCTGTGTACTTATGTGCGGTTGCCGGTGGAAGCCAGAAGAAGGCGTCGATCTTCCGGTGCTGCAGTGATAGGCAATTGTAAGCCACCTGACATGGGTCCCGGGAACTGAACTCTGGTCCTCTGCCAGAGCACTATATGTTCTTAAGGGCGGAGCATCACCCTTCTTACAGAGGGGCTTATGAAGTTTGATGGACAAAAGGATTCATTGTCACGCTGGTCTGACTGCAAAGCCTTTTTTTTTTTTTTACTACCCAAGTGCCTCCATCCGTTCTTTAATTTGCTCAGCAGATTCTTCACATATAATTTTTTTTAAATGTTTTTGCGCTTGTCTTAGGACAGGGTCTACGTGTGAAGCTCAGGCCAACTTGGAGGTCACTGTAGAGACCTGGACTGTGGCTATCCAGGAATCCTCCAGCCCTTCACTGGCCCAGTAGAGCCCCTGAGGCAGTCAGGGTACAGATGGCCACTGCTGTGTGCGCCTCTAATAACCTCCTTTGTGATGTGTACTCATCCTACTGGTGCAGCTTCCTTAGAGACCCCATCCAATACAGGGCATGAGGCCTAGCTAGACGTGGTGGCCCATGCCCTTAATCCCAGTGCTCAATGGGCAGAGGCAAGCAGATCTCTGTGAGTTTGAGGCCATCCCTGCTGTACATAGCAAGTTTCATGCCAGCATTCAAAAAGAAAAAAATAAACAGATTTTTCTTTTACGTGTGTGGGTGTTTTGCCTTTGTGTAAGTATGTGCGCCGTGTATACCTCCAGACACTCCTCATTTTCTACTTAGGTGTGAGTTTGCTTGCCTTACAGCCCCAAATCGGCTTCCTGAGTTGAGTCCCAGGATTCCACCCAAAAACCTGAGCCATTTCTGCTGCTCTTGGTTGCCTCCTTCATCTGTTCTTTCCTTACTATCAAGAGTGTAAGAAAAGCAGAGCATCTTGTTAAGGTCTGTCCCTGAAAGGACTAGGCCTTGCTACATTTCTTGCCTGCAAGGAGAGTTCACCCAGCCAAGTGAAATGTCCATGTCCACCCTCCAGGTACCTGGGACCCTGAGAGCCTTTGCCCAAATATCCTTAGCCCAATTCCAGGACCGGACCAGGCCTCCTCTTGAACTTCCTGCTCCTCTGACTGGTATGTGCGGTAAGGGTAGCTTGAGAGCAGAAGGAATACAGGCAAACGGGCCATCTGTCCAATGTTCTACACACATTCCAGGTTTTCGATGGTGCAGGGAAAGGCTTTGCGAGGGGAAAGTAGCAGAATAGTAGCAGAGTGTGTGTGGCCGCAGAGTAAAGGGAGGTCTCCCCAGAGTGGGCGGTCCTGCCGTCAGCAGCTGCTCCACTGTGGAAGCTCCCAGCTGTCCTTCCCTGATGTCCAGGAGGTCAAGACGCTTGGCTCTTGACACTGTTTGTTTTTTCTCCACTCTGTCCAGATGTCCTCAGAGAAAGTCTCAGGGAGTCTGAGGCTGTGGCAGAGATGCTCCCATCCCTCTCCTTTGCATGCCCCCACCCCATTGTACTGTCTGCTCAGCTGACCGTCCAAGCCAAAGTCCCGCACAACCTCCACTCCCTCTGGTGGCAGAGGCCACTCCAGAAGTCCTCCTGTGGCAGCTCTACACTTCCTCCCTGCCTGTCACTCCCCTTGTTTTCCTCGCTCCTCTCTTCATCCTGTCTCCAGCCTCTCTTTCCCATTCTACTAGACTCTGTTCCCAGCTACACCCACCACCTCTGATCCTGCTCTGCACAGCACTCAGTTTCCATGTGATTCCCTCTGTCCATCTAGTCACCTCTCCAAGGGGATTCTCTGGGCACAAAGGGAATTCCTGGTGAGCTATTCACTTCATTGCGTAGTCCCTCCTATCTAGCTTTTGGTTTCACACACTTCTTTTACTTAAATTTTTTTTGTTTTGTTTTTAAACTTTCATATGTGAAACATTCTCTATGATGAGTCACAAAAATAAAAACCCAAACAGTGCACGAAGGGGAAAAATGCTGGGCCTGGTGACATAGGCCTCCCATCGCAGCTACTTAGAAAACTGAGGCAGAGGATTGCAAATTCAGTGTCTGCTTAGGCTACAGGGAAAACTCAAGGTCAGCCTGGGTGACTCAGCAAGATCCTGTCTGAAAATGACAAGCGAAGAATGGCTGGGGGTGAGGTTCAGTGGGAGAGCGCTTGCCTGGCATTTGAGGGCCCCAGGTTGAATCCCCAGGACTGTTGATAAACTAAAACATTTAATACTTAATATTATATTTTAATATTATACATTTAAATGTTAATATTTCACAGTGTATTTAATATTATACATTTAATATCCTCAGTTCTTTTTCCCCAGATAAGTAGATTATCATATTGTTACAGCTATTTTTTTCCTGCTCATTCAAACAGGAAAATATTTGTATGTTTTATACAAATATTTTTATTTATACAAATATTTTATACAAATATTTTATACAAATATTTTTATTTGTATAAAACATACAAATAAATGTATTTATTTGTACATTTATTTGTATAAATAAAATTAAAATATTATATTTTAATATTATACATTTAAATGTTGATATTTCGTAGTGTATTTAATATTATACATTTAATATCCTGTTCTTTTCCCCAGATAAGTAGATTATCATATTGTTACAGCTATTTTTTTCCTGCTCATACAAACACTGATGTCTATAAAATAAATTTGTGTTATTGAAAAAAACCGCAGTACCATGCTATGTGTGATGACCTTTTTTCCCATCTACTCTATAGCAACTTACAGGGACTGTTTTTGCTTGGTTATTTGTTTGGTGTGTTTTGGGTTCTACTGTAAATACTGTCATTGTGAGGAACTTTGCTCATGCTTGTACATGCTTTGCATGGCTGTATGATACTTCTGTGAGGTAATATGCTGGAATTAATTCCTCAGCCAATGGCATGTTCATTTTAGCACTTGGCTCCCAGAAAGACTGTGACCCAGTAGATCCCGGCCTGTTGGAGACAAGCCCTAAGAAATTTCTGACCTTTTCTCATTCCCCCCACCCTGCTGCACCTGGTTGACCAACATCCTGCTTGACAGTTGCAGAAAGGGGCTAACTGTACCATGACTTCCCGAGATAGCTGCAAAGTGTTCCGGGCCCCGGGCCAAGAAGATTCTGTAACTTCCACCCTGCCCCTCCCTGAGTCCATAAACTCTAGAGTAAGACTTTCCAACCTGCCCTCCCTGAGTTTAGAAACTCTAGAGTGAGACTTTCCAACCTACCCCTCCCTGAGTGTTCTACACTGTGCTCTTCCCTCGCCCCACCCCTATCTAAAGTTGGCCTTAAAAGCCTGCTCCGGTTCAATAAAATTTGACTCTTGACAAGTGCACATTTGCTTGAGTCTGTTTTTCTCTCTCGCCTGTTTTTCTTTCAGGCATGGACCTCTTTGGAGACCCCACGAATTACTAGTCCCGCAGGCGGGTACACCGGCCAGCATTATGTGGGTGCTTCTGGGTGTTTTGTGTTTGCTGTGTATATGTGTATGCAGGTGCACATGGAGGCCAGAGGTCAGCTTCAGCTTTTGTCCCTCAGGAGACACTCACCCTGGTTTCTTGTTGTTTCTGTGTCTGCTTGTTGGAGACAGTGCCTCCCTATGCGGCCCTGGCAAGCCTGAATTCATCATACAGACCACAGCAACCTTGAACTCACGAATCGGCTGGCCTCTGCCTCTTGAGCGCTGTGACTAAAGGTGTGTGCCACCACACCCAGAGCACACTGTTTCTTGAGGCAGGGCCTCTCGGGGGCCTGGGACTCCAAGCAGCCCAGGCTGCCTCACCATGAGCCCCAAGAATCCACCAGTCTCTGCCTCTTTGACACTGGGGTTATAGGCTTGTGCCACCACATCTGGCATTTTTACATGGGTTCTGGGGCTCTAACTTGAGTCCCCGTGTTTGCACAAACTGTCTCTTCAGCCCACTGGACATTTTAAATATGCTTCGCACCATATCTTGAATTTCATCCTTAGCCCCACATCTCCCCTCCTGAACTGCCTTGTACTGGACATAGTCCCTTGGAAGTTTGAAAGCTTCCAGTGTTTCCAAAACCGAGGGCTAAAGACAGCTCTGTCAGCCAGGTGTGGTGGCACACGCCTTCAATCCCAGCACTGGGAGGCAGAAGCAGCTGGATCTCTGAGAGTTCGAGGCTAGCCTGCTCTACAGAGGAAGTCCAGGACAGCCAAGGCTACACAGAGAAACACCCTGTCTCGAAAAACAAAACAGACACAAAGACAGCTCTGTCTTCCCAGATTCCTGGCCAAAGCCTCCCAGTCCCCTCTGAGTCCTCACTTTCCCTTACAGTTACCCCCTCAATCCTGTGTGGTCTACTTTAAAACAAAACAACACCCCCCAAGCCCCACATTTATTTTTATTCATGTGCACGTGTATGAACATCTGCAGGAACCTGCAGAGGCCAGAAGAGGGCGCTGACCCACAGAGTCAGGCACAGACTACTGTGAACTGCCTGACATCAGCTCTGGGATCTGAACCGGTCCTCCGCAAGAATGGCACACACTTTCAACCTTCCAGCAGCCAAGCCTTCTCTCCAGCACTGACTGGCTCTACTTCTGAAAACTTTCTGCAATTCTATCACCTTTCTTCCACAAGAGAGCCCTGCTGTGAAGGGCATAGGCTCCCCCATCTCTCTCTCTCTCTCTGTCTCTCTCTCTCTCTCACACACACACACACACACATACACACCGTGAGTGATCGAGGGCAGCAATCTCTTCCCTACGCCTCCCTGTTTTAGGCTCTGCTCACCCATGGTGACTTCTTCCAGCCACCTGAGTAATACTTCTCCCGTGTGACTCAGCAGAGGTGTTTCTTCCAGAGAAACTGGATGCGCTTGCAAGACCCAGCAGGCCTGGGGCGGGTGGACCCTGTTACCTCCGTTTACTCCTTCCATCATGCCCCCTCTTGGCTCTAGCCACATAGCCAGCACAGCACGCTCCTTGAGCCCGTTCCTCTCCTGGAATCCTTGGCCCCAGGTGTCCGTGCACACTGGAACACTCTCACTTCCCAAGTCTCTCAGAGCCTTGCTCACCCTAGCTGGCC